AATTAAATGCAACAGAGATATTGATTCAAGTGAATGGTGTTATAACCGTGGAGACGCCCGAGGACATGATATTATGCCGATGCGTTCATTAATATTTGCTGTAGAACACAGAGCAGGTTCTCCGGTAAAGTGCTTGGAAAATCAGCACGGATCTGTCGGTGTGAGACTGCTGACGATTAAACTTACAGCTCAGTAGCGTAAACCGTGAAAAACGCAGCCATTCAGGGATCATAGTAATTAATCAGAATTTGGCCAGATCGGAAATTAGGGATTGTTTTGGACAATTACTGTGCCTGATTGGAGATTTTGGCAGGTGTCCTGAAAAAAAAAAATAACAACCTCAGATGCTTGAACAGACTCTCATAGAAATTGTATCTAGGCTTTCATTAAATAGTCCTTTTGGTAACACTTTACAAGAAAGGTACATGAATAATGATGTACTTACCTGTAAATTAAACATTACTTTATTATGAATTAATAATGAGTTAAACTTGAATTAACTTTAAATACAACATGAGTTCACATGAGCTTATTTGTGAATAATGGCTGCCTTAATTATGTTTTAGTACATGTTTGTTAATTAATGTATTAAATAACACTTTAAGGGTGGCGCAGTAGGTAGTGCTGTCGCCTCACAGCAAGAAGGTCGCTGGTTTGAGCCTCGGCTGGGTCAGTTGGCATTTCTGTATGGAGTCTGCATGTTCTCCCTGCATTTGCGTGGGTTTCCTCCGGGTGCTCCGGTTATAGTCCAAAGACATATGGTACAGGTGAATTGGGTAGGCTAAATTGTCTGTAGTGTGTGTGTGTGGATGTTTCCCAGAGATGGGTCGCGGCTGGAAGGGCATCCGCTGTGTAAAAACATGCTGGATAAGTTGGCGGTTCATTCCGCTGTGGCGACCCCGGATTAATAAAGGGATTAAGCCGACAAGAAAATGAATGAATGAATTAACACTTTAGTTACAGCTAAATTTAACTAAAATGAACTCATCACCTGTTAATGTTTCTTTATGTCATCATGACTTTACTTGAAGGGGCACAGTATCATTAACTCATTCTTTACTCCTCATGAACTCCTGTTTTTAAATGTAACAGTTACCCAACAAACACATTTATGTTGTAGTGTTGTCTGTACAACGGTGCATTATTTTAAAGGCACAGTCATCACTACATGCTCGCTACATTGTAACAACATAGAAGTGTAAGACGTGAGAAGGCTGTAACAACATTGTCATGTGACATTCAGCAACCGTGAGACGACTTTCTTATTACATGTATTAATGCTTTTTTTCTGGCAGTTTATCAATACTGCCTAGAATTCAGGATAAGCAGTAATACTTTTTATTGCTTAGTCCCTTTATTAATCCATTGCCACAGCGGAATGAACTGCCAACTTATCCGGCACTTTTTTATTATATGCAGCAGATGCCCTCTCAGCCGCAACCCATCTCTGGGAACACACACATACACACACACACACACACACACGTACACACACACACACACAAACACACACTATGGACAATTTAGCTTACCCAATTCACCTGTGCCGCATGTCTTTTAAAGCATTTGCAAGTCTATTGTTTCAAAGCAGTTTTACATAGAAGATCATAGTCCCCATATAGTAAACATCCGTCATCTTCTCATCAGTGACATGCATCTAAACAGTGTCTGGGGCATTGCGTGTAAAGATTTTGGACATCTTTTTGGACACTTACAATGCTTCCAAGCAATTTGCTGCAATTAAAAATTGCCCATGTCTTGAGGTTGTTCGTTATGATGCGATTTACCTTCTATGATTTGATTGGACGGGAATTACAGGACTGATTTTTCTAATCCCCACAGACAAGTAAAAATAGAAGTAATGACTGCAGGTTGAAGGAAAGTAGTAGAGTAAAGGTACAGATACTGCACTAAAAATGTACTTAAGTGAGAGTAAAAGTTCACATTTTTAAAACTATTCAGTAAAATACAACTCCTGAGAAAAAGTAACTAATTACAGTAATTTGAGTATTTGTAATCAGTTACTTTACACCACTTCATTTAATTTACATATTAATACATCATTATTCATGTACAGTTATTGTAAAGTGTGTTTAAATAAAATTACATTGGGGACAACCTTCATGTTTTTTAGATTAGGTTGTGAAAATGCTGTTATAAGCTAGGTAATAAGCTGATTAGATCACTGTAATTGGCATAAAAGATAAGCAAAGATGATTAAAAGTATGGTTCTGATTGCATAAACAGTTGCTGCCGCATTAAAATGTAATTGCCAACTAATGCACTGCAGTGTTTGCCAGGTTAGGCCTAATGTTAGAGTTGCTGGAGTTATTTATTTTGCCTGACAAAGGCACATTCACTACAGGTTTATCCTGATAAATAGATTCTGCTGACAAAATGCTTATATTGTAATGTTAACGGTAGCACCTCCTGACAAATAAGCACATTTCCTCTGACAAGTATGCCTGCTTAAACTATAGCTAGATCATCCCAGGTGGTTTGATCCTTTTAGAATTATTGCTTTTTATTAAGTACATTAGAATATTGCTGTCAAATCAATGCGGATATCGCCTCAGTGCGAACTCATTAGCAATGATTTCGAAACTAATTACAGAATAGGTCCCCTAACAGGAGGAACCTTGGTGTGCTAGCCCTATATTTCAGTAATCACAACTATGATGACTGAGAACATTTTTATAAGCGGTTTACATTCCAATAAAACGAATAAAAAAGTATAGGTGTCTCATATTGTGCTGATTTTGAGGTAAGCAAGTTCAGGGCTCTCGATAAGAGTGAGTTATGGCCAGCGTTCATTTTGTGGTGAGCTGCTGACACCTGGTGGCTGTAAAAGAAACTACGTTATTAATGCTTCATGAAGTAACTTGAGTCAAACTTATTAAAAAGTTTGTTCATCATCGTGAAGTAAATGTAAATCTCATTTGATTTGTGATCTCGTCGTAATTTTATAACGAACTCCAAGAGGGTCACCATCCCAGTTGCTCAAAGAAGATTATTAACATAACAACAACAACAACAATAGTACAAATAATAATAATAAAAACAATAACAATAATAATAATTATTATTATTATTGTTTATAATGTATATTATTAACTTACACATATATAAATAAAACTATAACATGTAGATATAAATATTTAATCATAAAATTGCATTACGTACACGGTGAAACCAGAGAAGGCTAGCACACGTGACCTGCCATTCTCCAATCATCATCTGTACACGCGCTCGCGGCCTGGGTCACCTCATGTTCACCCCTTAATGAGTGTGACGTCAAATTGATGGACCCTAAACCTGGCGAGAGACATCGACAGTCCGGGCGCCGACGAACTAAAAAGAAACACAAAAGAAGGTAAGTTTATAATCATTTTGTTTATTTTGAAACTTTTTTGTTGTATATTGAGGTCTTGATTGGTGTTAATGTCGGTAACGTTAATTTAACCGCGCTAATGTTATCTGCCGTTCGGCCTTAAACTCAATCTACGATTCCGTGTTTCTTTATGAAATGTGTTATATATAACATACAAAATGCCAATAATAGACAAATAATGCAAATAATCATTTACTAAGACGGTTTTGTTGTTGTTGTAAACGAGCCTGTTAGGCGATTGAGGTAAAGCTGTCTTTATTCGCACATTCTCCTTAATAATATAATATAAGAAAAGTATTACTTGCAAATTCTAAATCGGGAAATTATATGATCAGCCAATGACTATCGAAGTACAACATTGTTCGCAGTCAACTAGATAGTGGTAATGAAGTCATGCATGCGATGTCAGTCCGAATAACTTATTTAACGTTAGTGTAAGGCCCCTCGACGCATGTGCCATTATAAAACCAACTTTACCTCAATTCTCACTACTCACTGAAGGAATTTGGGTTTATATTATCAACTTGTGTCCCTGTATTGTTTGTCATCACCACGCTACGTCGAATGTTTGTTTGAAATTGCAAGCAAAACTGAATTTAAAACAACATTAGCACAATTTAAATGACTGTGAACAAAGTTATACTTTGACATGGCTGCTAATACGATTTCCCTATTTAGAATTTGCTAACAAAACTTTGCTGAAGTGCTAATGTGCGACTATAAAATATAATTTACCTCAGTAATCACTGCGTCCGTTTCCGTTGCACAAAGGCAAACATGTCGAAGTAACTTAACGTTAACGTTAGATGTTGTTACTTTATTCAAAGGGTAAACTTTCAAACATCTCCGGCTAAGTTTAGTTACTTCAAATATTAATTCACAAACATTTTTAAGAACATGTTTAAAGACGCACAGATAATAGATTAACGTTATTTGTGCGTCTTTAAACATGGTTATAAAAATAGATTAAAAAACACATTAAAATAGGAAAATAATTATAGGCTGTTTAATAATTATAATACGGTTTCATTAATTATAATACGGTTTTATTGAACGGACACATGATGTACTACAAAATAACAAGTTTATACTAAGTTACATTTATTAACGTTACAGGTAAGTAGTTTGAGTTGGAGGACCTTTAAATCCCTGGATTCAAGTAATCAACGTGTTAGAAAAGCTTTCTTTTAACGAATTTAACGTTAAATCAAACTAAAATGTATAATTATATATTTTTTAATAATAACATACATTCTACAGACTTAAATCATTTAATGTAACAACCCTCACATGAATTATGATAATATTTGTGAATCTTTTGTATCTTAAAGACTAAAAACTAGTACATTGTACTTTTCGGGTATTTAGAGGTACCGAGTACGGGTAGACCCAGGCCGCTCCCGCGTTCCGCCCAAGGCGCGCTAAGACAATAGGGTTATTTGCATGAATGCTAAAGGGTTTGCGTTTTTGGTGATTATTTTAAAGTTCTCTGAGTGAAAAAATTGGAGGATGCGGGCATCGATCCCGCTACCTCTCGCATGCTAAGCGAGCGCTCTACCATTTGAGCTAATCCCCCTGTATTTGCTCCACTGGCGGAAACATATTTATGTGACACCCCCACCCGGGTGTCACACCGGAATAGTACCGGCGGAAGTAAGTAGAACGAGCCTTGCGGCCTGTTTCAGAAAGGCGAAAATGTCGACTGGGATGGGAAGTAAGTGCTATTTTATTTGAAAACGAATAAACCTTGCAATTTAACATCTAATCACTTTGTACGTTGAATTCTGAAGTATTTTATCATATATAAACGGAAGAGCTAAAGCTCCTAGTAAAGCCGCAGTTAGCAATTTCGTTGTTGCGCTAACGTTAGCTGGGTTCGGGATAACAAAGACGATCTCTGTTTACATTATTTTTTTATGCATATAAAACAGTTTGTGCTATTTTACATGATCTAAATGTATTTGGAGTGAATGGTTTGTTTTTATTTTAAACAAGATACGTCTGTGGTCATGCTACATTAGTGATTAGCCTCTTTATGCATACACTTTCCTCTAATTTTTTGTAATAACGTTTAATCACATGAACTACAGCTTTAAATTAAAGCAATGTTGTGAACGCCTCTCTGTCTTTGTAGAGCACAAAATGCTGTCTCTGGGTCCGACTGAGCCCTGGTCTATTCGGGAGAAACTGTGTCTCGCCTCCTCCGTGATGAGAAGCGGAGATCAGAACTGGTAAGAATAAATAATTAACGCTGATGATCATAGAGCTGTAAGATTGCAGTGTGTTCAAAGATTCAGAGCTTCACTTTGTAGAAGTGGCTTTTTTGCGTGTATCATTTATATGTGTTTACATGTTATTATAGTAATATATAACGTTAGTATTATAGGGCATTGTTATCCACACTCAATTAATGTTTATTTAATGTTTAATATTTATATATATATATATTTTTTTTACCTTTTTTTTTTTGATTAATTTGAAGTATGTTGGGTTCTATAGTAATGTAGTATGTTTAAAATAATAATAATAGTTGTAGAAATAATAAATATTGGAGGATGCGGGCATCGATCCCGCTACCTCTCGCATGCTAAGCGAGCGCTCTACCATCTGAGCTAATCCCCCTCCATGGAGAAAGGGGCCTCATGGGCCCCTGTTGAACCTAAAGTAGTATCCCAGCCAAATACGTTTTAGGAATGATTATTTTTTATAAGAACTGATTTTTTAAACCGATGATCAGAATCATATTCTATTGACCTTATACAGCAATGTGAAAGTATGATTGTGTGGGATCTTCTGATTCAGTCGCCTATGGGAGAAATGACTATAAAGTGTAAACTTGAGAAAAAAGTACAATAATATGATAAAGTTATCAGTTTGCAGCATAACGAGCTGTTTTCAACATTTAGAGATAAAACCTACATTCAACATTTAGGAAGTGAATGAGACTTGAAGTCTTGAGTTTAAAAGATTCAAATGGCTGCTTTTTAGTTTTTTTTTGTTAGTATCCTCAGACATAAGGGCATTGTTTCACTCTTTGAAACATGCTTTCTTTATTTTTTCTTATATAAAAATGTGTTTATATAATGCATGCAACAGTTATACCATAATATATTAAAGCAGTAATCTTTAAAATAATAAATATTGGAGGATGCGGGCATCGATCCCGCTACCTCTCGCATGCTAAGCGAGCGCTCTACCATCTGAGCTAATCCCCCGCTACGGAAGCTGGGGCCTCACGTGCTCCTTTTGTACTCAGAGTAGTTTCTCAGGCAAATAAGCGCACCAATATACCAAATTCAACAGGCTTTTGTTGGCAAGATTGTTAAGCAGTAGTAACTCCTGATGTGCTTTAAAAAAATAAGATGTTCGCATTACATACATTTTCTGTTCTAATTTGTATTTTTTTATCGTAAATAATAAAAATAGAATGCTCCGTTGTGTGTATCTTTTGCATATGAAAACATTTACCAGTCACTATTTGAAAAATGTAGTGTTATTTTTTTTGTCTTTTAAAAATATGAATATAGTGCATTGTACATTTATTTATTAATATGTTAAAGCTGTAATAATAATAGTAATTGGAGGATGCGGGCATCGATCCCGCTACCTCTCGCATGCTAAGCGAGCGCTCTACCATTTGAGCTAATCCCCCTCTGCAGCAGTGTCATGGCCAAGTCTTTCTGTCTGCAGACCGCAAGACAGGGGCGAACCATTTTTTTTAGTTTCCATGAAATAATATGTATTAATAATTGTTGCTGGTAATTTTTGTTAGGGTGTCTGTAAGCAGAGCCATCAAGCCTTTCTCCGAGTCTGGACGACCCCCAGACTGGTTCTCCCAGAAGGTAATTAAACTAACTAATTAATTATAAAATCGATTAAAGCAATACTTCACCCAAAAATAAAAATTCTGTCATAGTTTACTCACTCCCATGTAATTCCAAATACATAAACATTTCTTTTTTCTGTGTAACAGTACGGAAGATATTTGGAAGATAGTCAGTGAAAAAGAGAAATTGCTACTCATTTACTGCCATAGATGGAAAAAATAAATTAATATGAGAGTAATTGGGTGGCAAGATTAGCTTTGGTTCCTGACTTCTCTTCCAAATACTTTCCTTTGTGTGTTGAGCAGAACAAAGTAATTGTATATAGGACAGGAACAACCTGAGAGTGAGTAAATGATGGCAGTATTTCAGTTTTTCGGTGTACTTTTCGGAATGTAATGCATGTTTGGGATTTTCTTAGTGATTTGTTTTCAATATGTCCTCTACAGCACTGCGCTTCCCAGTATTCTCAACTACTGGAAACCACAGAGGCTCCAAAGTAAGTGATCGTCTTTCACTATCTTTCTTAAAACAGCTGCGCTGAGCTAGGGCTGGGCAATATGATGAAAATCTCATATCATGATATAAGTCTTCTAATATCCTGATAACAATATAGTTGAAGTCAGAATTATTAGCCCCTCTGAATTATTAGCCTCCCTGTATATATATTTTTTCTCAATTTCTGTTTAAACGGAGAATTTTTTCAACACATTTCTAAACATAATAGTTTTAATCACTCATTTCTAATAACTGATATTATATAATCTTAAAGCTTAAAGTTACATTTAAAGCTTAACTGTGTTAATTAGGCATATCATTGGATAACGATGGTTTGTTCTGTAGACAATCGAAAAAAAATGAGACACTGCTCGCTGCAGAGCCATTTGAGCAGAGCTGAGCTCCAGCGAGGGGGAGCATGAGCTCTCGCTCCTCCTCCTATAAGCTGTTTTAATGCGTACACCCACCCCTAACCCTGCCCCCCCGAGTGGCATCACTCGTAGAAGAAGTGCAAGAAAGGAGGAGCGAGAGCTCAAGCTCCCCCTCGCTGGAGCTCAGCTCTGCCCAAATGGCTCTGCAGTGAGCACCACTTGAAAAAAATATTGCTTAAAGGGGGCTAATAATATTGACATTTAAAATGGTCAAAAAATAGCTTTTATTCTGGCTGAATAAGACAAATAAGACTTTCTTCAGGGAAATGTAATTTTATTTAGAATTCAGGGAAAGTATTTGATTAGAAATGTAGAAATTTTAAATTAAACACTTTTCAAAATCTAAGGATTAGATTAGCAAAAAATACAAGATATCATGCAAAATGTAAACATTGTGTTTTCAAGGTTGCAACTTTCTCGCTATGCTGTTGTTAATGTTTCTGTCTGCATCCTAATATTGCGCTCATATAAATTATGACAAAGTATTACCATTAAAGGGCCATGAAACCCGCTTGTTTCAGCAGGGCGTTTTCACACCTCTACTTTGGTAAAAGTCAGAAAAGTGGGCGTGTCCAGCTCTGTTTAGAGGGGAGTGTCGGAGGAGCAAAAGAGGGATGATGTGGGAGTGTTGATTTGGGCATGCGCTGATTTATACTTCTGCGTCAAACGCCGGCGTATGCTACAGCGCTGACGCATAGCCCTTGGCCGTGGCCGTCGCCGTCACTGACATGCACCTCTCAAAAAATGTAACTACACGTGGCAACGACGCGTAGCGTAAGCTCTGTGATTGGTCGGCTTAGTAGCGCTGACGAGTCTGGGCGGGACCGAGAGCCGCGTGAATGGCGCGAGCGATTGTTTACAAGTGTGAAGTCCCGTGAAGGAGCTCCAGATGGAAAGTTTTGTTTTGTGTTTACCTCATAGTTAAAGTTGTTGCACGTCCGCCGGTTCCTGCCTCAAAATGAGCGAGTTTGAGCCACTTGTACATCCCGGAAGCGTTCAGGAAAACCAAAAAAGCAGCGAAGAAACTCGACTCAGAGGAACATTTACACCTCACTGCCAACTAGCGTTTCGGAAGTGTTAATGCAGACCAACAGAGACAGCGTGCAGAAGTATAAATGCACAGCCACGCGCGTTGCATGCGCCGTGGGTTACGCCGGTCACCTGACGCAGAAGTATAAATCAGGCTTAAGTTTTAGAGTCAAAACACACTCACACACACACACACAAGGGAGAAAGTGACTGTTTACATGGACATCTGTAATCAAATTATTTGCCAAATTATTAAATGGTGGACCTTAACTGCAGTTTGGCTCTTTCATTCAGGAATTTCATTCGTGCCCCTCGTGACAAACAAGATATTTGATTCGAGGAGCTGCTCTAAGCATGTATTTTTCATGCAATGTTTGATACCGTATGGTGAATGAGAGAAAAAAAACCTCCGCATTTCTCTGTAACTTAGATGCACTCGGCAGGTAGCGTCAGCAAGCCATGTGTGTTATTCCGGTCACAAAATGCGGTGAAAATCCTACACAACGGTAATAGTTTGGTTGTGGTGCTAACAAGTTTACACTCAGTGTAATAGTTAGTTCGATACGAACAAACTGAATAAACAAAGAGCATTGGTCGCTCACTTACCAAATCTATAGAGACAGGACAATCCACAGCAGCTAGAACCATGTCATTATTAAGAGGAGACAAGCAGCGAATCCGGATCTCACCATTTGCAGATGAGAAAAGCTCTCGGGTAAACAACGTTCCTTAGATATGTAAGTTTTTGTTGTCGTGCGTCGCGTGCACTGTAATCCACACGAGTCCAGCTGCGCTCTCGTAGAGAGAAAATGAAAACAAAACTTTCACTGCAGCAAATTATAAAAGCAACACTGCACGCTTGTTTTGCCAACAAAACGTGCCGTCTCTGCCGTCTACACTGTAACATTAATGAATATTAATGAAGTTGCACAATAGTGCGCGCTGATTGGTTTAAACCAAGCCTTACTCGTGCATTGATGCAGCACACTCAGAGACGTAATACAGTACTCCCAGGTACAGACGTCCAGTCTACACGCTGGAATACATGCTAAGATCTCATGGCCATGAGACAGCTTTAATATTTAGTTTTAAACCGGAAGTACGAATTTGCTCGAAATAACGCTAAAACAACCAATTTTCACTTTTTAGTAAGATATACGTGTCCTTAAAGTGTTTTTAGCAGTGTGAGACACATATACAACTGTCAACAGCTCAAAAAATGTGTTTTGGTGTTTCGTTACCCTTTAACGATGCAAAAAATTGTGAAACCCCAAATTACCAGTTGAGTAATTTGTAGTGATAATATGTTTCATATTGTACAGCCCTACGCTGATCATCTTTATTAAATGTGCTAAATGTTCAAACTAAATATAGAAGAGTCCAATTTTCCATTCTTCAAAGACGAAAAGCGAAAAAAGTCTATGAATATGCTGTGTGCAATTATTATTTGAACTACGTAAATACTTGCAGACGTAAGCGGGGTGAGAAAGGGGAGGTGGTGGAGACCATCGAGGATGTGATCGTCCGCAGATTGACAGCAGAGAGAATCGAGGAGCTCAAGAGGCTGATCAAAGACACACAGGAGAAATACAGGTAAATCTACACCTCGTAAGTTCTTTTCCCTCTTACGGTGTATTTCTGTCACACACACATAATACATTTGCTCTGTTCATTCAGGAAACTGAAGAAAGAGGTGGATTTGATCCAGGCTGGTCACGTGGACCCTAAACTGGAGGAGCTCTGGGCAGAAATAGAGCTGTAAGACCATTATGGACAGTTTTTATGCTTAAGCATGTCTGCAATTTCATGTTTTTTATGTTAAAGGGTAGAGCTGTGAACCTACACTAGTCTCACGGTTCGGTTCGGTTACGATTATCATGCCATCGATTCGGTTCAATTCGATATTTCGGTGCATCACGGTGCATTGACGGTGCTTTTCATACACAGTTTTATATTTCTTCACAGCAGCATTTCTTGTATTAAAATGTATGAATATATTTATATTAATATACTTTTGTAATACAATTTTGTCATTTAATACAAACAGTCAGATATATAAACTGTAACATTAAACAAAACGAGCATTTAGCAAATAATATAAACAAATATAAATATCCAGCTCAATTTCTGATCCTTGTCTATTTCTCTTACACCCCTTTGATTGGTCACACCCTCAAAAAAAAAAAAAACGGTTGCGATTGGCTCTTGCGCGCTGCGTTCTTCACAGATGAGTGATACTGATAAGCGGCAGGAGGCAGCGGCGATCTCACAGCTGATGTATGATACACGGTGGAGAAAACTCTGCAGACACGCGCTCGTTTCTGGATGCAAAAGTAACGGTGTAAAACAGCCGAGAAGAGAAGAAAAGCCACGCCAGCAGGTCAAATGGGCCACTGTGTGTGTGTGAGGAAGAGAGAGAGCGAGAGAGAGAGAGGGAGAGAGAGAGAGAAATGGAGTAGGCTACTTTCATTCTCTCGATCTCAGTGAAATAGGGGCTATTGTTGTATATGTCAGTGAAAAACTGATCCAGCAAACACACACAGTGAAATTGTGCACAGTTTATGAGTTTTAAGTAGTTAAAGCTCTGTAAATACTCGCGATCGCCTCCCTTGCGACAGAGCGCATATGAGGTAAATGACGTCAGTAAAAACCGGTTATGATTATTACTGAACCGATACCGAATCGTCCGCGTCTGCATCGCAGTGCACCGAAGAAACGATTAATTTTGACACCCCTATTAAAGGGGTTGTGCAATGAAAATTTGCTCATCCTCCACTTGCTCCAGTTTTTTCCCCTTTTTCAAGCTTCCATTATTATCATCAATTGTTTTTGATTGTTCTACAATGGATGCTAGTTTTGAAATACTTTTTTGTGTTAAAATAAATAAATAAATAAACTCTGGAAAAAGTGGAGTGGATGAAAAAATAGAGAGTAAATTAAGATTTAAAATTATTTATATATTTTGTCACAATGTTTTAACCCTCATAGAAATTCAAATATGACTGCTTAATTGATAAATATGAGGCTCTTAATTGAATAAAGTATTTTTAGCATTTACTTTGTATTAAAAAGAAAGGGTTAGTGTGAGTTGACATGTTCTTGCACAGTCTCTTATAGTCAGTCAAATGTTATTGGGGAATTGATGATGTTTCTTTTAATTCAGTATCATGAAGTCTAATATTGTGAAAGAATCATTTTATTAACTTGAGTTTGATAAATAGCATCTAAAACATGTGTTTGGGAAATAAAACGTTAGCTAACTAGTGCCAATTCCCCTAACTTAGCTGAAAATGAGCTCTATCCCTTTTAATTTTTACCATTCATTCAGAACGGACCTTCGGGTCACTCGGAAGGCGGTGAAATAATAAAATTGTGTCACTTTCTCTTCACTGATAAGATATACAGCCAGATACACAATGTTCCCATGTAACTCCCAACAATACTTTCGGGTTTCTTCTCACAGCAGCCTTGATTTTGCTTTTAAAAATGGCGGCCGTGTGAAATCAGTCTATAGCAGAGGTGTTCAACCCTGTTGCTGGAGATTTACCTTCCTGCAGATTTCAGTTACAACCCATATCAAACACACCTGCCTGTAATTATCAAGTGCTGTTCAGGTCCTAATTAATTGGTTCAGGTGCGTTTGCCCAAGGTTGGAGCTAAACTATGCAGGAAGGTAGATCTCCAGGAAAAGGGTTGAGCAACCCTGGTGTATAGTGTGCCATTTGGGACGCAGTGATTGATTTGAAGTGTCAAGTTTTTGCATTATGATTACAGTCAAAGCTGAATACAGAGAAATAATTGTTACCCAATTGTGTAATTCAAATTCAGCTCAAATCTAGCATGTGTGTGCTCATGTCATGATGGGATTGTTTGTCTTTTAACAGAAAGAAGAAGCAGGAAGAAGAGGAGGCGGAGCAAAAAAAAAGGGCAACTGAGGCAGCCTATCAGAGTGAGGCTTTCATTTACTCGGCACTTTCATAAGACAACGTCATCACAAAAGTTTCGATTATATTAGTTCAATGGTGCAACATATTGCAAATGTGTTTTCTAATCATCTTTCTTGCCGCATGCTGCTTATTTCACACACACATTGGATTTTTTGTCCTAGGAAATGAGTTTTTATTGCTTTGAGCTTCAGCAGTGAAACATTGTTTCATTTTGCATAATTATTAACGTATAACATTTTGTTTCTTTCCAGTTCGTCAGGCAGCTAAGAACACACCAAAGAGAGTTCCCAGTGTGACGGTACGCTCGCCGCCCGGCGCTAGCTCTCCCAGCATGGACATTTTACAGCCAGACGCATCACAGCCAATGACGGATGAATCCTGTGCCAGTCCCATGGTGAGTTTCCATGACTTGAAGCTGACTTAGGCCCAATCCCAATTCTACTCCTTAGCCCTTCCTCTTACCCCCACCCCTCGATCTGCGCATTCACTGTGGGTTTCACCATTCAAAATGAAAGTGCATCTTTTCGCTTATGTCATTTCTCAGCTTCATAAATTAAAATAAAGACTAATGACAGCTGAGCAGAATCCTGGAAAATAAATCAGACTCTGACCAACATGAGGAGAGTTAACTCGCATGTGACTTGTTTCAGCTATGTTGGTCTTTTTAGAAACTTTGCTGTGTAAAAGCCAACTGCACCAAGAACACTAAGCAACAGTAACTGTTTACATGGACATCAGCAATCTAATTATTTACTTTAATCTGAATAAGACAATAATATGATTAAAGCGTTTGCATGAGCTGCTCTTTCAATGTTCCTTTCATGTTCGCGTTTTACATGTTGTAGCACATAGTTCAATTAACGTAATTACGTCAGCATTCAATGCTAGTCTCCTTCGGCGTTTCACACTACAACTGTTCACGTTTCTCATAGGAATATATGTGTTTTTGGGCTTTCATTTTTAATATTGCGACAAGTTCATCTGCAGTTAATTTCTCACACTATGCATGCAAACAGACGATGGTGGATACAAATTCTCAAGCAACAGGCCACCTCTGCTATCACATTCGCTAACTTTACATTCATGTGCTCGTTACAAACTTAAGGTACTGGATGAGAGTACACATTAAGAACCAGTGGGAGAATTCTCAGCATTGTCAGTTTTGTGCTCACACCAAAAATGTGCTTTCTTGCTTGAAGCCATTCTCATTTGTTTGTCTGACAGCTACCATATGTGCATCCTGCAGCAAAAAATGTGGCGAAAAGTACTACAAAACTTTAATAGTTTGATTCCAGTGTTTACATGGCTGTACTGCAATTTAATAAGGTCAATGCAATAGAATTACTCCACATGTCTTAATTGGATTTCTGTTTAGTTCGATTATCACTTTAGTCTGATTATGTCATCAAAAACCCTCTTTACATGGTGGTAGACTCTTAATCAGAATATTGTCTTCTTACTCATGTTAAATTAAGCATATTGGTGTCCATGTAAATGTATTCATTGTAACAATTTGAATCCCTGTTTTTGAACAAGACAATCGATCTATAGGTGTGAAAGCACCCTGAGATCTCAAACTCATGATTTGTCCATCCAGGCTCAAGGAGTGACCGTCTTCATGCCTGTCTCAGATGTCATGGGTCCAGGGCCTAAAGAGTCAGGATTGAGCTCTCTGGTGGACGACTCTCCACAGAAGAAACACCTTGCTCCGAAAGCCACACCTCCTCCCTCCCCGCTGCTGTCTGAACTGCTGAAGAAGGGCAGTCTCATTGCTGCCAGCTCCAGACTGGTGAGTTAGTGAGGGACACTGTAAAGCTCTTAACATTTAAGCCTTTGGATTTTAGGCACATGTCACAGCAAACAGGATTTGGACTGTGCCATGTCCCTGGCCCATTTCTTAACCCTACTTTCTTGTCTACTTCATATTGTTCTATAAATAGTAAAAAAAAAAAAGCCTCAACAGAAAGATTTTGTGGTACTCATTATTAAGGCTGCACAATATTTGAAAATAAATATTGCGATATTTAGTTTTTCTAATGTAAAGATGTGGTGCACCACAGCAAGCTTTATTCTCTCTGCCTCTGTTGTTTTCAAAATAAGAGTCTTGCATGCATATTAAGCTTAGAAATTAGAGGAACAAAGATTATTGTAATATTGTTCTATAAATACTCAAAATAGCCTATACAGAAAGATTTTGTGGTTGTCAACATTAGGGCTACATAGTTTTGGGGAAAACAAATATTGCGATATTTAGTTTTTCTGCAATATATTTAGCGATAAATACAATTTCACCAGATGACTTGAATATCTTTTTTGGGGGAAAGAATTCAGAAATTTATGACACAATGACAATATATGGAAAACAATCTAAAGATATGGTGCACCACAGCAAGCCTTAACCTCCGTGCCGCTGCTGTTTTTAAAATAAGAGTCTTACATGCATTGTAAATTTGGAAATTAGAGGGGGAAAATTATTATAAAATATTATTATTATCAAAATTATTGTAATATTGTTCAATAATTAGTCGAAAAAGCCTCTACAGAAAGTTTTTGTGGTTTTTAACAATGTTGGGGGAAAAAAAAACTATTGCTGTATCTAGTTTTTCTGCAATATATTTAGTGTTAAATATAATTTAACCAGTGGACTTGAATAGCTTTTTTGGGAGAAAGAATTCAGAAATTTATGCCACAATGACAATAATTGGAAAACAATGTAAAGATGTGGCGCACCATGGCAAGCAACTATTTATGTGCTAATCCAAAGTGTGCATGAAAATAGGTAAATGGAAACATAGCTAATATCTAAAAAAAAATGTGTTTTATGCTGTGTTCACATCAGATGCAGTATGTGTGGATAAATCATGCTATTCGCGTGTAAATAGACACGTGAACATTTTGATTTTACTCGCTTTATTCGTGCGTCAAATTCACTGAGCAATAGATGCAGATTCGGGTCTTGGGCGGGGCTTCTGTCTGCCCAATGACTGTAGCTTCGTTGCTAATTGGCTAACTTGAATAGCTTTTTTGGGGGAAAGAATTCAGAAATTTATGCCACAATGACAATAAATGGAAAACAAATAAATGAATTTTATTGCAAGAATAGGTGTTTATTTATTTTATGAAGGCTGACAAATAGTGTAGATTCATTTGGAGCCGTGTCTGAGTTCACTAGATCCTTTCAGAGGTGAACCCAGTTCTGTGAGTTCATCCACTCCTCCAGAAACTATACCTGGATGATGGAGGCTTTCAGCGGTTCCTTAAGATTGAGCCAAGCTTAGTTTGATTCACCGTTGTCCAGTGTCAGCTGGAGGATTCCCCCCCAGGACACCAACAACAGGCTCTACGTCAGGCGCACGCTCCTACAAGAAAAGCTCCTGATTGGTTACCACAGCGCAAATGTCTACTGAAGTTCTGATTTTCATTAAGCGTGCCAATCGCGCAATGCATCAATTGCGCCATTCCCGCCACCTCGTTCGTTTCTTTTCATCGACTTAACATGTAAATCACTCGTGCTTGATGCTTCTTCCGCATATGGTGTGAATGCAGCATTAGGGTTTCATGACCCTTTAACAACCAACAGCCAATTGCAGACCAAAACATCTGTGCATTCAAACTTCTCATTATCAAACTTCTATTATAAACTAATAATTTCATACTAATCCTGTATGCAAATTAATTGTTTTTGGTTAAAGAATCATTTACTGAAGTGGAGAGTTTGTCTGTGGTTAATGCAGGTGGTTGAAGGTGAAGTGGCCACAGGTTTGAGTAATGGTTCTCATGCAGTCGAGCTTCACACTTCTGCAACAGTTCTCCCTGCTACCCAAGACATCACAGCAGGTAAACAGAAACTCTTCCTTCTGTTTGTTCTAAAAGCGTCTTTCCTCAGTATTATACACGTTTTGTGACAGTGAACAAGCTCAATATTGAGTTGCACTGTTTGTTGTGGTTTTAATGTGCTTTAGCGCTTTTTCTTTAGTCATTCTGCATGCCACTTTTAGATTTCATGCTTGTGTGTTACATTAAAACTGTAGTTTTGAGCAGTGTGCAGGTAGCTTTGTGCTATAGTGAGTGTGTGTTTGTAGCGCTATATGTGTGTGTCTCTGTCAGATGCTCCTACTCTATCTCGTCTGTTGGAGAGCGTCACCCCAGCACAGCAGCCTGTGAGTGCTGATCCCCCTAAGCCCCCTACTGTGGTCCCTCCAGCCCCGGACCACCTCTCTGTGCCCAAATCAGGTCTCTGTTTCCTCTCTTTAGTGCTCTCTTGGTCTGTTTTTGCTCAGGCAGACTGTTTTCTGTTTGCCATGTTATGTGCACTACTTCATCCTCATCCTATGACAAATTTCTCAAACTCTCAATGCCATTACTGGAGTTCTATGATTATATCCTAGAACTGTTGTTTGACTGTTGAAGTTTTTCAAACCTGTTGACTTGTTTTTAAACTCCTGGGGTCAGGTCTTCATACCTCACTTAAATGATCTAAAATAATTTGACAGATCCAGGATCTTTTAGAGGGCCATGAAACCCCCCTCTTTCGGTTCAAGTCTTATCTCAGAATTATTTCAAAAAATGCATCATAATGGGCGTGGCCAGCAGAGCAAGGGAGAAGGAGGGAAGCGAACAACTGTTGTCAGTCGGCTCACAATTTAATACGCAAACCGTGTGGAGATGCATGATTTTATAATTTACAAAGTTAAAATGCAAAGAAATAAACTGTAATTTAATGCCCTGCTACATGTGCTTTTCAGAGTTTCATATACACGCACAACCACATTTTTTTATAATTTTAAAGATAATTGTGTTTATATAAACACTATAAATAAGGATTTCTCTCTCAATCCTCAGGTCTGAATGCAGACTTTTAGCAAGTTTTTTGACCTGCCTATTTCAACCATTAGCCCTGCTGGTAATCTGGAGGATTTAGGCGAACACAGCAGCACGGCGATGTGTCTAAGGGTGCTTTCACACCTACACTTTTGTTTCAGAACGTGTCTCATTGCCCAGTTAGCCCAGTTCCGCAACAAAGTAATCGCTCCGAGATCGCTTGAATGAGGTGGTCTCGGCTCGATTGAAACGAACCCTGGAGCGGTTCGATTGCAGTGAGAAAGCGATCTGATCCGAGCGCGGTTATATCACAGTGTTTTATGAATATGTAATAGGCTTATGGCTATATGAAGAGAGAATTATGAGTATGGCAGGAAGTTTCGCGAGTCTCCGGATGCCCGCAAACGAGTGATGATCTTCCGGTAATCTGGCGTCTCCCTCCCGGTCCTCAAATAGGCATCGTCGAGCACCCTTCACACCCCTCCCCACCGCATCTCTCCTCAGACACGTCGCGCGCACCCTGTCAATCACCACCAAACCACCACCTCTCCTGACAGCTGAGCCGGACGCTGCAAAATAAATCCTGACACTCTGACCAATGTGAGGAGAGTTTACTCGCACGTGACTTGTTTTAGCTCTTTTGGTCCGATTAGAAACTTTGCAGTGTGAAAGCGAACCACTCCAAGAGCAAAGAGCAACAATGTAACATTTGTAATCTCTGTTTCGGAACAACTGAATCGATTCACAGGTGTGAAAGCACCCTCAATGTGAACGAACTCCACTGATAAAAGACAAAGTCCGCCATTCTCCAATTCTCGTAATGCTCTCCTGACAAAAATGCTTGCTGCACGCATACAGCTTTGCTGTATCGGCCCTGACAAGATTGCAGGGAAAAACATGCAACAAACCTAGTGCAACAAAACAAACACATAAGACTCTTCTTAAACAGCTAAGTACTGTGTGCTGTATGCAGGGTCCGTGGACGCGGTCTCACCCAGTCATCAACATAGGGTCTCACAGCTTGGCAGGTCTGTCTTGCCTTCGGAAAGCACATGCAGTCATGAATAATTGAGAAGCAGGGTCTTTTCATAGGATAAGAAAACTCTGCTATGAATAATAATGAGAAACCAACGCATCATCACTCCACTTGCAGTTTTGCGCTACTTCACAGATTTTGATCTCGCACCAAAAATCATTTTAAACCCGGAAAATGAAATTAGCTGACAAAAGCTCAAAATTATCCAGTTATCCCTACAATTAAACCTGACTGGTGCTAACTTTTGCTCAAAGGGCACCTATGATAAAAAAATCGTTTTAAGCTGTGTGGACAGACATGTGTGCAAGTATAGTGTATAGATTGTCATATTGGGGTGATATAAACACACCCAGTGCTTGTTTTTCAATTTACAACATAATAATGGTGGACCAATTGGAGCGGTTTTCAGAGCGACCGCAACCTGACGTAGGAACGCTGACGCAGCGCCATGCATTTTGGAATTCTGGGTGTGGGTTTCTGTCAGGGTGCACGCGGCGGCGCTTCAAGTCAGATTAAAATGTCTGGATGAACTAATCTGAGATCACTGCATGTGTTGTGAAGGACTGATTTGTCAATTCATGAAAACATGATCAGCAATGCAACGATTGGCTGACAGCACAGCTACATCATCTGATTAATATTCAATTATCCATGTGAGCAAAATTTGAAAAATGCATAGTATTCTGTTTTTTAAATATGATACGCATAACTATCCACATGTGTTGTTGGCCTGAAAGCTTTACACTTTCATGTGTCAAAAGTATTTAGCAATTTATGTAGTTTTTATTTTTAGAGAGGATTTTCTTTATTATAGTAGACCTATTCAGGTTTCCTAATAACTGGCTGTTTATATTAAGTTTGCATCAAATGTATTTTGATATTGGTAAAGGTGTCTACAACTTTTGTAAAGCGTCAAATCACTGAGGTATTAGCTGTTAAAACATGTGCATGACTGCATAAAAATTTTATTTCCTTAAAAAAAAATAATAGAAAAATTAAAAAAAAAAAAAAAAAAAAACTAAAATATTAGCCATGTCTGTTATTTTACAAAAATTGTACTAAAGCTGGGTCAGTACCTTACAATAGTACATGCTTATATATAAAGAGTCCATAAACCCTTTGGGGAGAGAACTCCCCCGTGAGAGTTTTTGTACTTTTATTTTGTAGTGTATATTGCATAAGTCTTATTGAGATATATATATATATATATATATATATATATATATATATATATATATATATATATATATATATATATATATATATATATATACTTTATGATCAGTGTGGTTCTGATTAATGGTTTCTCTTTCGCATGTCATTTGTTTCTAAACTCATTTGTTTATTATAAAAATGAGGGTTAGTATAAATAATTTTTGCGTTTTGATACCTATTTGCCCATTAAAGGGCTCACATTAAGATGACTAGAAGTGTATGCTCTTCTCGTCTCTAAGGCTGAGCGTACACGCATGCGGTCTCATTTGCGCTTTTAAAACATGAACGATTCAATGTTCATTAATGAAAGATGTGCATCCCATGCTGCAAAAGTTACAGTACAGTACATGCTTTTAGTCATGTTGCAGAGCAACAAATGTGTACAACTGGAAAGGGGGCGGTTTATTAAAGAATGATGCAATTATCGTTTATCTCGATTAATGTGTTTTCATAATCGTTAGAAGCCAAAATTGAAATAGAAACCGAATTTTCGTTCAGTTACACAGCTCTAGTTCTAGATTAAAAATGCTTTCTTTTCCACAGCAGAACAACAACGTATACTACTGTGACAAATATCACTTCAGGTATAGATTATGTGCTTTATTCAATGTTAAATGTTACCAATGTGAATTTAAATACCATTTTATGCGACATTCATTCTCATGCTACTGAAAGCAGCAGCAGATAGTTCACCTCAGATCTTGAAAATGAAAGAACTAGCAGATGATTTGATAGTGTCGTAAGTGAGAACTGTGACTCCACAGTGCAAACCAACAACATTAGTCATTCAGTAACCTATCAATAATATTAAAGAGCATTAATATACTGCATATTCATTAGATTAAAAGCCTTTACCATTTATTTGAGAGTGCAGTAGACGGTAGTAAAATGTTTCAGTCATGTCACGTCACTTTTGGTGCAGACAGACAAGTTGCTTGTCTCTGGAATCTTGTTGTGTGTTGTTAGGACATGGTTTAAAGTGGTGTTTGTTGATGTGTGCAGGAGATGCAGCCATCGCTGAAGGTTCTGGAGCTGAGGCTGTAATGGCAGGTTCATCCACACCTGCGGAGGTGGAGGGGAAAGAGACGGAGCTGGTGGAGGAGGACACAGTGGTGTCAGTGTCATATATGGGCCACGAACTGGACCTAGAGACTGTGGGAGACATCATTGCAATTATAGAGGAGAAGGTATACACATACAAAATCATTTACAGATTTTTTTTTTTTACTGTTGATCATCAGTGCAAAAAAAAGATTAGTTTCTGCCTTCCATATGGAGTTATGTGTGAGTGTGAGACTGTTGCACACACTTATCTTCATATGTCTTAGGCCCCGTTTACACTATTGGTTTTAGTTTTAAATCGGCGTTTTAGAATAAAAACGGTCCGCGTCCACACTAGCGTTTCACCCAGTGTTTCTAAACAACTCTCTGTCTACACCAAAATGACTGAAACACACATCACGTAACCACACAAACACACACACTCTAGCATGCGCTGCAGCATATCTACCCAGATGAGAGCTCTGCTCGTCAGACTGCTCATCGAGCATCTCCCGCTGGATCTAATTTTACTATATCTGTTAAATGTGATATTTTATTCATCTTGTTGTCTTTATCTAACGACATATTCCCCGACTTTGGTCTTTTGAATCTATTACTTGTTCACAGGTAACGTGTTTTGGCTAAGCGCAAAGATAAGTTAATTATTAATGTAACCATGTACATTCTGCATATTGACTGATCGCTTGCCTTTAATTTCTTTCATTTTTCTTAAATGTATAAACTCATTGTACGTTACACTTTTATTATGGTCAATATTGATTATTGAAACTGATATTCACCAAAAGAGAGGGTATGTTTCATGTTTTCAATGTAAATGGAAGGAGGCATTGATGTTATAGGCTCCGTCTTGTCATAAATATCCACACAAGATAAAGATGACGCTCATATATGCTGCACGACGCCTCAACATTTCTGCTGTCTGTTAAGTTGCTAATATCAAAATGAAAATAGGCAGTTCCTTAAATCATGTTTTCATGATAATGTAAAACAGCGTAGCCAGGGTGATGTGAATAAGGTTATACAGTACACTTTTCCTTCTAGAGATTTACCCGACATGTCCTCGTGAGTTTGTTTTCCATATTAAACTTTCCAAGTCTGAACTTACAAGGAGAGGATGCAGAAATTTAACTGCGTGTAGGCTACTTAATATTGATGAAAAGCCCCAATCAGAGAGGTGAATGTCGGCAGCCCCGCCTCTGTTTTCAGATGTTTCAGTTTTCTCCCATCCACACTGAGACGGAGCAGCAGCGTTAAGCGGCCTCTACAGCATTTCCAAAACGCTCAGTTTTCGGCGCTCAAAAACTTTGGCGTAGTGTGGACGGATGGCGTAACCGTAGCAAAACTTATGCGTTTTTAAACTAAAAGGCATTAGTGTAAACAGGCCTTAGAAAAGCAGCTCAACTCTTAGAACATAGTAAACATAGTAAGTGTATTTATGAACATACTATAACCTGCTGCTTTACTCCAGAGAACTCAAAATAACAGCAAGAAACGCTTTTGCACAGGCCGATCTAAAGGGTAATGCTGCCAACTGATGATCAGCAGTAAAACTGAGACTTCCCAACAGGGAAAACCACCAATAATCAAGAATGCATAATTAAATGGTGTCATGGCTTTGCAGTCAAAAAAGTAATTTCTAGTAGAAGTCATTTAGGCAAAAACAGCCACCAACATAACGAAAGGGTGGTCAATCAGTACACAAGGGTTAAATAATAAATAATTATTCACAGTATTTTAAAGTGCCCACCATATCAATATTGTGCATCACTGTATATTGAATGATTACATATCAACATGTCTGAAAGCATTACCTCTATTTCAGGTGGACGACCCTGTGGAGGCTCTGGACGCAGCGGCAGTGGAGGCAGCTCTCTCCCTCTGTGAGGATCCAGCAGTCGGAGGTCACCCCCTCACCAGCCCCTGGGAATCACAGACATTTAAGGCAGCCGAACCAGAGCCTATGATCCAGCAGAGTGCCATCCCAGCGGGCGCAGAGAGTGCCCCGAACTCTGCAATTGTGCAGGGAGAAATGGAGGTTCTGGTAGAAGAGGCTACAGAAACCGAAGCAGTTGAGGGAGTGACAGAGGAGCCTGAGGTGCCCTCTGCCCCGGAAACAGAGCAGAGCCAGGACTCAGAGGTTAAGACAGAGGTCGAGAGGGGAGGAGAGGGTGAAGGGGGTGTGGAGGAAACAGCGCAGCCGGAGAACAGAACACCGAGTCCAGCTGTGAAGTGTGAAGGGGAGGACTGGGTTCAGCCAGAGACCGTGACACCCTGTCTGGATTCAGAAGATAGCTCGGCCTCAGCAAAAGATGCAAAGGTATTAGCAAAGCAAAATGAAAAGTATGCCTTTATGTACAATGCTAATCAAAAGTATTTTTTAATTGACATGACTAATTTATAAGTTGTATAACAATAAAATCGAGCCAGTCATAGCGAAATGCCCAGCACAGCTTATCAACAATATAGAAGTAGTCAGAGTGCATAGTGCATGTGTGAGCATACCTGCGGTTAATTTAACCGGCGTCTGCTACAGCGTGTGTCTTTGCTACTGTGCTAGTAGGCGGGACCGCAGGTTTCGATTTTCCTGGGTTTGCACGCGCAGCAACTGGGCTGAGCTTAAGTTTCGTATCCATGTCACGCCTTAGCGTTCATTTGAAGTACTAGGAGTCGACCCTTTTATAAATGAATCAATAGTTTTAAACACTTTCCACTCTCAGATTTAAGCCTTAGCTGGACATTTTACTTTACTTAGAGCTTTTATGCACTACATGGATGGTAAGGGTGTCACGATCCTCCAAATCCTCGATTCGATTACATTTTCGATACTAAAGGCACGATTCGATTCGATTTTCGATTATGAATACTTAATTAATGACCAATTAATTATTTGTAGCCTACCGTTTAAACTACCTGACCTGCATGGTCTTTGTTTTACCTATAAACAAATCAAACAGTAAATGAATAAAGGCAAGATACACACATAATTACCACCTGTCAATCACTTTTTTTTGCGGGACTCGTGAATAGGCAGTGATCTGTGTCGTTATAATGGCGTCGGTAAAAAAGACGCACAACCAACAGGAACCAGCCAACAGTATCTAAGGTGTTCGCTAAAATGACAAAGTACAAGTGAGTGAAAGATTGAAGCAGTCCTCTGACTGCCTGGACCCGCTGTCTCAAGCTCATATGGCTGTGTGTGCGTCTGTGTGGTCATGTGATCTGCATTTTCACAGGTAGAGAGGAAGGAGGGCTGCTCAGAAATGCTACACGCCACTGTGGATGTCAAATCGTTGTCATTCTAAAATGCCATTTAAAAACAAAGACAGTGTAAACAGGGCCTGAGTGTGTACTTTTCGCGAGCGGATTTGCAACGGGGGCAGCGGAGGATCGCGATGTCGGTGTTGTGTATCGGACGAACTGTACGTAATGCGTACATAGCAGAGCTTGCAAAACTGTTTTTTTTTTTTTTTTTGTCGACAACACGAACGTTGTCAACATAACTCGCTGGAAACTTGCTTCCACACCGGCGACTTCATTGAAAGAGGAGAGGGTTTAAGCTCTGTCGACGGGTGTCCTGCTTCTGTAGTTTAACAGGCACTTCAACAAGCCTGTTTTTTTCCCGCTTGGCAAGCCAAGCTGATGTGACATAAGGGCGTGGCAGCATCGACGATTCTATTTTTTGATTCGATAATCGAAATTGAGCATAAATTTCGATCGATTTCGATTAAAAATCGAAATCGTGACATCCCTATTGGAAGGTAATTCTCAAACTCATAATAGGGGCTTTTTAAACATTTTAGAAAGTCAAATAGCTTGATAGCTGCATGCCAGCCACACATAACTGATGGGGCATTCCAACCATATGTAACTTACTCAAATAAATCACTATTTGTGCGTAAATAGACTCATGAGCATTTAACTTTTGCTTCATTTACGTGTCAAATTCACTTCACAATAGATGGGGATTTGTGTCATGGACAGGGCATCTCTTTGCCTGGTGAGACTAGTTTCAGTGCTAAATGGCTAACATGGATTTTATTGAAATAGTAGCTGCGTTTTATGTGCTTTAGAAAGGCTGAAAAAAGCGTAGATTTGTTTGGTGCCTTGTCTTCCTAGTCCACTAGATCCATTCAGAGGTGCACCCAGCTATCCCAGCTCTCAGCTGTGAGTTCACCAACTCTAGAAACTATACTTAGATGATGAAAGCTTTCAGTTTTACTGCTGACTGAGCTGAGCCCAGTTTGATGAGCTGTTGGCCCGTGTCGGCAGGAGGATTTCCCCGTCGGAACACCAACAACAGGTGCTAACAGGTCATAATCAAGCTCCTGATTGATTAATGCCGCATGAATGTCCGCTAACTCACAGTCCAGATGTGCCAATCACAAAGACCACTACAGTGCTGCAATTTAGGAGCCAATCGAAAACATCTGGATTAGAGATGCAGCGCTCAGAAATGGTTCAATCAATTTGCTACTTTAAACAGAAGGTTGCATAGCTTGTTCCACATCCGAGTTTTTCTTACTGGTTTGCTCCTTTTGAACTGGCCAGACTGGCTCTCTTTGGCTCTGGAACTGACATTAATGAGCGCTGATGTGTGAAAAAGGAATTGTTTTACCTTTACACAACATCTTAAAATGTGGTGCTCATGTGCGAGGTGCTGCAGAAGGCGTTATTCAAATATGCTCAAAATATTTGCGAAGAGGTAGCTAACACATGATATTGGTAACTCATGATATGAGTTGTTTTTCCATGGTCTGATGATTTCGATTGGCTGGAAGGTTTGCAATAGAATCATTTAATGCACAAGCAGTTAGAGTCGGCATTGGTCATATTTTTTAAATGAATGCCATTCCCTAAAATATAAGTAACCATAGTAACACAGCAATTCAATGACACTTTACATCGGGCAGTTGTTTGCCTCCATGTAGTGAATTTAAAATCATTTAATGCTCAAATCTATTGATTATCCTTTACTTATTTTTTACTGAACACTTTATTTAGGTTTTATATATATATATTTATATATATATAATTTGTAATATGTTTTTAAAATTATTTTAGTTTTGGACTTCATCAGTTTACAACTCCCTGCATTTATTCGACAAACAGAACTGAATGTATGAGATTACAATAGAAAACTTTATTAATCCCTGTGAGAGGAAACTCATTTTCCAACACTAAACTGTACTGTAAAAAATTGTTAGACCACAAACATCGCATCACGTTCCAACAACACTCCATTTGCCACAACTACTCATCATGAATACCATAAATGGCTGAGCAAGTTACACGTGAAATTACAAGTAACAGCACTTCATTAAATAAAATCCTGTCAACAGTTGGAATAAAAACAAAAATGTTAACTTAATATCTCTTTTTGACATTTTTCTCTGACTGAAGGAAGTGAAGGAGGAGGATGGAGGCAGTGAGGTAGATGTGGATGAAGGGATGGAGATGAAGGAGTGTGGCGATGGTGATGGCGAGGGCCCCTATCTCTCCGAGGTGGATCCTCCTGCCAGTGAGAGTGAGGATGGATACGGCAGTCACTCGCAGCGCTACACCACTGCAGACTCCACCGCCAGCAGCCCGGCCTCATCACAGTTGTATGTTTAATTTGTTCAATTGTGTGATATTTTGATCCTTTGTCTGACATTAACATCTCTCTCACTCAATATCAGTTGTTAAATTTGAGTTTGGGAAAAGCAAAAAATGCAAAAGAGAAACAATTAAGATAAAGACTAAATATTTCGTTAAAAGGGTATTTGCTGCTATGATTAAATCAAGGCTTTTATTTGGTTTTTGTTTTTATAAAGCTATATACTTGTTAATACTTGTAAAGAAATATGGTGTTATAGGAGTGTATTTTGTTCTGTTATTGAAAATAAGCTATGTTTAGCATTTCTTCTTTGTAAATGTACACAAAAAAAGAGTAAAATGTTTTTATACAAGTAATATTTTTGTTAAATAGAGAATACTAAATAATGTAAACCCCCCCCCCCCCCCCCCCTCTCTCTCTCTCAGCTCCATGTGTAGTGAAGATCAGGAGGCCTTACAGGCTCAGAAGATCTGGAAGAAAGCTATAATGTTGGTGTGGCGAGCAGCAGCCAATCACAGGTCAGCTTTTCACATTGAACTCCACCATTATAATGATAAGGACCAACCTGCAGATTCCGTAGTTCCTCAGTTGCATGTGTCTCTTTAGCTCTCCTGCTGATGGCTCCCTGCAGCCTAGACTAAACGACATGTAAATAGCATATTTTGTTACATAAGCAATATTTCGAAGGGAATAACCCTTATCTTGGTATTCTATGTAACATATGTGACTGAAAAGAATATGTTTATATTGCTAAAACCATGATACTTGCTATTTTTCCACAAACTTGCAATTTGACCCACACATTGTTAATATTGATGGCGACATTAAAACTGGACATTCGTTTGTTTCATTTCAACAAGTCATCGCTGCGTTAATTCTAAATTGAAGTACACATTGCTGAACACCCCAAACATCTTCGAAAATACTAAAAAATATCCCGACATTAGTTTTGCTCCATTGCTGCAACTTTATTACAGACAATTCAGAAATGCAACTTAAATAATATATTTTATTTTAATTTTAGTATATATTGTTTTAATTTTCATTCATTTAAATTCAAATAAAAGGCAAAAAATAATAGGTAAGAGCAAAAGTAACAGCAAGACTAAATGGCAATGCCGCTCTCCCATCCCATTTGGTTCAAGTCTACCTCAGATTTATTTAAAAAAATGATCCGAGATGAGCGTAGAGCTCTGCGAGCAGAGGCAGGAGTGGGTGTGGCCAGTAGACCAGGAGAAAAAGAGGGGAGCGAAGAACTGTTGTCAGTTGGTTTACAAAAGGTGAGACAAATTATAAGGAGACCCAGGATTTTATAGTTTACAAAGTAAAAATGCAAAGAAATAAACAGTAAGTTATTTAATGTCCGGCTACATTTGTTATTTGTAATTTCATATAAACATAACTACAATTTATTATATCATCATAAAGATAATCGTGTTTATATAAACACTATAAATGTTGAGGACTTTTCTCCTCCTCAATCCGCGGGTCTTAATGCAGACACAGTGGAAAGCAGTGCAGCAGGTCTCTTGCCCTGTCTATTCCAATCATAAACACTGCCTATGTTTAAAATTATCCAGATTTCCGGCAAACACAGCAGCACGGATATAGGTGAGGTGTATGAATGGTAACAAACTCAACTGATAAAAAAACAAAGTCCGCCATTCTCTAATTCTCGTACAGCTCTTTCGAACAAAATTGCTTGCTGCAAACCAACAACTTAGCTGTATCGGCCCTGACAGAATCGCAGGGAGAAACATCAACAAACCCTGTGGATCATGGAAACCAACACATAAGGTCCGTGCCGTGCGTGGACACGGTCTCACCCAGTCTTTGGGTCTTACAACTTGGCAGGTCTGACTTGCTTTCGAAAAGCACGTGATCTCATGAAAAATTGAGAAGCAGGGTATTCTAAAAGGATAAGAAAACTCTTCTATAAATAATAATGAGAAACCGACGCATCACTCCACTAGCATATTCACGCTACGTCACCAATTTTAATCCCGCCCCAAAAATTGTTTTAAACCCGGAAGATGAAATTAGCTGATAAAAGCTCAAAATGATCCAGTTTTCCCCACAATTAAAGCTGACAGGTGCTTACGTTGTCTTAAATGATGCTCAACACACATAATACTGTTAAGATCTCAAAAAATGTACACCAGGGTGTCTTGAACCTTTAAAAATAACCAACTAGTGGTACAACCAGGCACTTTCTTACATTTGTTATGTTCATTTAAAGTTTAAATATGTTTTATGGCTTTATGTGCAAATTTTATTTGGATGGAGAATGACCAAAATAGCTCTTTTGTTCACAAATGTAGCCGACACTTTTGTTATAATCTGTTATAATATTTATCATGAGCATCATTCATGGTTTTGTTTCAGGTATGCAAGTGTGTTTCTGCAGCCTGTGTCTGATGACATCGCGCCAGGGTATCACAGCATTGTACACAGGTACCAAGATGACATCCTCTTATAAATAATATTGAAAATGTGAATAGAACACATAATAGAAAAAGAGTTTCACAAACTTTGCAAGGTTATAAATGAATAAATTTACAAGTAATTAATACATTTATAATATTTACAAGTAAATGTACATAAAAATACAGAATTTTGAATTAAATCATATACCCATGTATACTTGTTTTAAATCTTAATCAAATGCATAACTCATAAATAAATAAATGTATGCATATGTATGTTTTATAATGAAATTGTATAACACGAGTTCATCTTTTAATTATTAAAATTTCCTCAAACATTTAAAGGTAATCCAGACAATTTTAAATGAGAACATTTCTAAAATAATTCCTTTTAATTATTAAAAATTAGAATTTAGAAAAAAATAAACCGAATAAAACTAATTTGATTTGCTCAATTATAAGCTATTTATTAGATAATTTATATTAATTAGACATGCTCTTTGAATACTAAAATTTTAGGCTGCATTTACACTGCAGATCTTGATAGTCCAGATTTTTTGACTATCTGATTTTTTTTTATGACCTTCTTACATTATCTTTTTTAAAGTGACTTGTATTATGTCTGCGTTTACAGTGCACATAGCAAATGGCGTAATGAAGAGTGGTCGTTGACCGACTGTCCATTTCTCCATTCAAGTATTTAATCTGTTCGCAGGGTTTAATTTTTTTTATTTAATTATTTTTTTGACAAGTTGTTTTACTGTAGTTTGACAGAAAAGTTTTTTCAATTGTCCATCTTTAAATTAAGGCTTGTTTAAAACAATGGGGATTTTAATGGCATGTTCATGGGGTGATTTATGCACGGTTTGTAAGCAATAGTATTAATTTAGTTTATATTTTCTTGTGGAGGATGTTGTGCTCACGCTCTCTCGTTAACATCCTTAAATACTTGTGCTACATGACAGTATAAAAGCTTTTTTTGCCCTAGTATATGAGAGTTTGTCTATTCTGATGTCTGTTCTGAAATTAAAGCATCAGAGTTGATGTCATTCGCTACGGTTTGTAATGATGCACGACTCGCATTGACAGGTTAAAATCCGATCTACCTGCTTATACTGCAGACATGAATTCGCACATATGAACCAGGCCTGAATCTGATTTCAGTAAATTGTAATCCATGTGAATTTTTTTCCTGCTTACATGTACATGAGCCATATCCAAACTGTGCCACATGGGAGAAAAAAAAGGAATTGGGTGACTTTAACCATGCAGTGTAAATGCAGCCTTGTATACCTATTAAAATATAATGGTACTTTTAAATGGTAAATTCAGGAAACATTATAGGATTTTTAGCATATAGTTTATGCTCTCCCCCCCCCCTCTCATTCAGACCAATGGACCTCTCAGCCATCAAGAAGAACATCGAGTCTGGCCAGATCCGCACCACAGCCGAGTTCCAGCGGGACATAATGCTGATGTTCCAGAACGCAGTGATGTACAACAGCTCGGATCACGACGTTTATCACATGGCCCTGGAGATGCAGAGAGACGTTCTGGAGCAGATCCAGCAGTTCCTGGCCACTCAGCTGATCATGCAGACGTCAGAGTCGGGCATCAGCACCAAGAGCCTGCGCGGAAGAGAAGCCAACCGCAAACAAGACCCCAATGAGAAGGTTAGAGACACACACACACACACACACAAATCATCACAAACACACACAAACATACAAACCACGAGTGGAAACAAGATGCTGTGGAGAAGGTTGGAGGAATATCAGCACTCAGACACACATCGCACACAATTAGGAAACATATTCAATAACACAATTTCAGCTTCAAACTTTTGGGCAGTGACACTTAAGTCTGTGTGAAATAAAAAATTACAGTGTTTATTTTGCTAGCGCACATTTTTGTTCCTAATAATTAAAGGTGCTGTTTGTAAGTTTTTGACTCTTCTAATTCATAAAAATACCATAAAATGTTTGCAGATATTTAAGAAACATGCAAAGTGAACATTCTTGTTTATCGGAAAAACAATGCTGAAGTCAGATATTCTGCTTTCAAAATGTGCGTTATGTGCCGACTTAAACTACGGCTGCAGCCGGCGATCCACAAGATTAGCTGAGCCCAGGCGGGGGTGGGGGCGGAGTTGAAAACGGAGCTGTCAAGCCGAACACTTCAGTGCTCAAAATTGCGATCACATGGCATCATCATCGTTTATTTTTGATTTTTAACTACAATAGATTTACAGTACTAATAAAACAGAATACAGTCTCTACAAACTATAGCTTTTAAACAACAAGGAAATAATTTATTAAATTTAAGTAGCCTGTATAACAAGTGCATGAGAGAAGTAAGGGGAAACGAGAGGGTAATAGAAACATTAAAAGTAAATAAATATCAACGAATAGGTCTATTAAATACAAAGCAATAAGCACAAATTATAGGAGTTCACTTTTTAGGCTAATACTTCTTCTTTGAGTTTGCTAAAAAGGAGTTTATGTTTTTTTACAATGTTAAATATAAAGCTTTCCAATATATATTAATGTAAAACTAAGATTACTTTTGATAATGAAAGCATTTTAAAAAAGAACTTTAATCCAAAAAGATTGAACAAATGGACATTCCCAAAATAAGTGAGCTACACTTTACCCTTATAAACGCATTATTTAACGAAAGATGCTACTGCAGTAAAATATTTGTAATCTTTTAATAAGTATACAAGATGTATACAAAATAGAGATGGCATAAAAAGTTAATTGTTTGTTTTGAAATTTTTGAGACGGAAGTTGTTCAATAAAAAACACGAAACGCGCGTGGTTGTTGTCAAGCGGTGAATCCAGCCAATCGTTTAACATCGGTGTCATCATCGCAGCTCCTGCATAATCTTGTATAAAAATATGAGGGTTTCACGGTATCGTGATTACTCCTCTAAAATGTATTATTTTTGAATGTCTGAGTAAAAAACAAAAACTTTTTTCCTCTTTCATTGATTTCTGCTGTCTTCATTAGTTTCAAAAACACAGATTTCTTTGCATTTTAAAATGGCATCTTTGGATATCTGTTGTGCTTAAAAAACAACTTACAAATACCGTAGCAACAGTATAACAGAAAATTTTGTCGGTTTTAAAAACCTTGACACTTCCAAACCGCGGTATACCTTGAAATCGATTATCCTCCCATGTCTAGTTGAATGTTTTCTTTTCATATATTCAATAATAGATATTGTTTTTTTGTGTGTATTTTTCATCCAAAATGTATTTTATTTTATTTCATATATTGATTTTAAATCTTTAGTTAACAATAACAACAATGATCTATTAAGTGAAAATCATGTGCAGTAAGGGAAAAAAATATATACCTCTAGAAAAAAAAACAAGATTCTTGATCCTTTTCCAGGATATAGACTGGGGTGTTTTTCACAAAGCAAGCTTGAGACTTCATGTCTCAAAGACAGGACATCAAAGTACATCAAAGTGTCTGTGGACATCTGAAATGAAGTATCGCGGACAGTGAAATGGTTTAGGAAGTCGCAGAAAGAAGAGTTTAAAAAAAACTGCTTCCTGTGCATCACAGCATGCAGCTTTATTTATGAGGTTGACACTGTGGGATTGGCTTTCTATAGAAGCAGCGTGAATTCTAAAAACACTTTTTTACCAAGATAAAACCATTTGCCTCAAATATTTGGCTCACAATGGCACAGACCAGCCAATATCTTTAACTTCACCTTATTTCAGTCTGACTGAGAATGAATGAGAGGCTAAATTGAAGCGTCATCAGGAAATATAACTCGTAATGTCTCTAGGCTGCAGAGTTAATGGCCATCAATGCACACAAAATAGATTTGTGACCAGCGACTGAGTCTGACGTTGTTGTAATGCTCTCAGGTAATCTGCACAAATTGATTTTCTGGCTCTTAATGGTATGGCTGTGCTCAAATAGTCATTTTAACACTTAGTTGCTGAACTAAGTTTTATTTAAAATGCTGAAATGCAGGAAAAGTGTCACTGTCCAAATACATATAATATCAATTTATTAATATGGTGAATTTTAAGTCTTGTAAAAAAAAACTGTCTACTCACATTTCACCCCAAAATAAGAGCCAGATGTTTAACTGTCATGAAAATGTCACAATGTGAAGACATTGTAAGTTTCTTTAACATAAGGTGCGTTCAGAAAGTATTCAGAAAACTTGCATTTTTACATTATGACTTTTTTTTATTTATATTTATGTACTGTAGACTAATGTGAAAAAAAGACATTCAGTATTAAATAAATGCATATTTCCACAGTACATAATTTTGCATTTGTTTATATTTTTCTGAAGAAAGAACAAAAATAGTGATAGAAAGGCAAAATGGCATGGATTTATTTATTGACTATTCCATGTTTCCCTGAGATTTGGAACCAAATAACTCCAAATCAGAAATAGTTAGGACAGTATGGAAAACACAAATAAGACGAAAGTAGTGATTTCCAAATTTACTTTGACTTGTATTTTATTGGAGACAATATGAACACAAAATATTTCATGTTTTGCCTGGTCAACTTCATTTCATTTGTAAATATACATCCTTTCTTGTCATTCAGACCTGAAACTAGGGCTAGTAATCAGGTAAATTAGTTAAATCATAATATGATTAGGAACAGGTGATGTCAACAAGTGATTGTAATCATGATTTGGTACAAAAGCAGCATCCAAGAAAGGTCTAGTCCTTTAGGAGCAAAGAAGCCGTTTGGATATTTTACCTTTATTAGTGCATAACATAGTTAAAAGATTCAAGAAATCTGGAGGAAGTGCTGTGCGTAAAAGACAAGGGTGGAAGCCTAAACTGAACTAACGTGATCTCTGATCCACCAGGCGGCATCTATTAGCGATATCACCACATGGGCTCAGGACTACTTTGGCGAACCTTTGTCAAGCACCACAATATGTAGTTACATCCACAAATGCCAATTTAAACTGTACTGTGCCAAAAGGAAGCCCTATGTTAACAGTGTCCAGAAGCGCCGTCAATTTTTCTGAGCTCAGAGGCATCTGATATGTGTTGCGGGAACCAAAATTGGTATATTTGTTTATTAAAAAAACATGAGGAACACTTTAAATGTTAACTGTATTGTCTGCAATAAAAAACAAGTCAAAGTAAATTCAGAAATCACTACTTTCTTTTTTTATTTGCATTTTCCATGCTGTCTCAACTTTCTCTGATTTGGGGTTTTTAAAAAAATTACTATACGACCGAAATAACGGCTGAAAACTGGTGTTTTTTTTTCTCAATGTTTGCATTCAAATAACTCAAACTCTAATTTTTCAGTATTGAATTCTACTAAATAGGTAATTTACTGAGAAACATCTGAAGAATAAGTCATTTCTAAATTAGAGATGTACGTTTGCCTTTTATGAAAACATGTTGCATGAAACATGGCTGCCTGATTGCCATAAATACTACTTTTTTATGTATAAAAAGACCTTTATTTAGGTCTGTAATTCCAGAAACATCCCAATGTGATTTAGATTCAGATTTTTTTGCGGCAAACCTCACATTTGTTGTTCAATTTAAAGTTAAGTTACAGAGATCTTTAAGCATTTTGTAACAAAAAACATTTTTGTCCATAATTGCCACAATATTTTTAGCGAATTGAGGGATTTTATTCGAGATTTTGTGTTTTCAATATTTTAAAATGTGCATTAACACAGGGTAATAAAAACACAGCTAAAATATTCAGATTTTTAACATGACAAAATGCAAAACAATGGAGTGTGAATACTTTCTGACTGCAGCGCTTTTATTTTGAGCTGAAGTGTGATCAAAGACATGAAATCCAAAGGCGATTTAATTCCCGCACACTTCTAGATGAAACCCTTTCTGATAGAATCCAAACAACAGACTTTTTGGCCCTTACACACACTCACTCACGCACACCCTCTCTCTCTTCTGAACTTCTGAAGTCCCTAACAGTAAGGCTAGCGTTACTTGCACTAACACACAGTCTCATATGTAGACCCTGAGTCCTGCACACAAAGAGCCTCATTTAGAGCCAGAACCACCAGCCAGAAGGAAAAGGAACAACTCCAAACAAGACACTGTTGAGAAGGTCAGTGTTGTACACACACAAACATACACTCAAGGAGAATCAAGGGAAGCGCAGGTGAGACTACTGATTTACTAACCCACGCACAGACATGGCAAATCTAACACAAGGACTAACTCGATTGTTTCTTGCATCTTTGCTCACAATACAACATTTAATGTTCAATGTTTTCTAAATTCATGTAAAACGTTTAGCCAGCATTTGAAGTGGGTCAAAACAAATGTCAAATTTGCCCCGAGTCAAGAGTAGGTATTCAACAGTTTCAGGACAACTTTAAACTGTTTTGATTTACTTCAAATGTTGACGTCTGTCTGTCTGTCTGTCTGTCTGTCTGTCTGTCTGTCTGTCTATTAGGGCTGAACTAAATGTAAAAACAAAAATAAATTATCATGGTAATAGTATATGCAATTTCTGTATAGTAGAGGAGTGTAATTAAAATAAATCATATTTATTTTATGTTCTAAGCCAGGTGTGTCAAACTCAATTCCTGGAGGGCCGAAGCCCTGCACAGTTTTGTTCCAACCCTGCTCCAACACACTTACCTGTAGGTTTCAAACAAGCCTGAAGGACTCAATTAGTTTTATCAGGTGTGTTTAATTATGGTTTAATTACTAAACTGTGCAGAGCTGCGGCCCTTTTGGAACTGAGTTTGACACCTGTGCTCTAAGCAATTATATAGTGCATGCGTAAGTTAATATCCAAATTTGACCAATCAGATGGGGACTTACTATACCTGCCTTTCCTGTTGGTGCTATTGTAACATTCGCTTTACTGGGCAAATGTGGTGCTTTAGAGCAGAGATTTGAAAAATGAATAAAATGGTGGGAGTTGGTTTTCTATCATTCATAATGTTTTAGGCTGTTGTTTGAGAAGATTTTCAATTCTCTCAGAGTGACGTATTTTTTAAGCGTAAAGCAGTTCATTTTCTAATTTTCTCTTCCCAAAAAGTATGGAGTGTTTGCAGCAAACAGGCCAGCCTGTGGTACAAATACTGTGGTATGTGTGTGTAAGATAAGTATGCCTGCACAGGAGCAACATTAGGAGAAGGCTATGCTGGAGAATGACTGATTGTGTAGAATAACTGAATATGTAAAGCACTGATTATATATGTTAAACATTCATATGAAGCTATGTGTCAGAAGCTAGAGTGAGTAACATATTATCAAGTTATTATGCTATCATGATAATGTATGTAAGCACTTAGTTCTTTTGCATAAGTTGCATTTATGAAGGACATCTCTGGTATGAATTGCTTACGAGCTAGTGGGCTGAGAGCCAAGAATAACAGGACCACCTAGATTCAAAACTTATCCAAGAAAGGTCAGGGGTTAAAAGGAGACACCTAGGGGTGTGTCAAATAATCTGTTTAAAGATTGTGGAAGACACTGAGACTTTAGAAAGAGAGAAGCAAAGAAAGGAATGCTCTGAGATCTCCTCTGCTCTTTCTTGGCTTTATTATAAAGAATAAAGTTTATTTTCTGATATTCAAAACCTCCCATCTGATAATTTCTAATTGATAAGAAGTCGGAAATTATGACAAATGACACCCAAGATGGGTCTGAATACGACATAGTCCACATGTATATGGTATTTTTATTAATGGAGTTTTTTCAGCCTTCATTAAAAAAAAAAGACACGCTGATTTTCACAGAGGCAAAATGTTACGAGTTTAAAACGTTTAAGTGGGATGCTGTAACATTTAGGTGAAACAGGTGTAATGTGTGCGACAGATCAAGGATGAGGCAGGAATCCATTCTTTATTTAAGCTTTTTTTACTCAGTGGTTTAAACAATATATAACAATAATGAATGGAAAAAAAGAAATAAGCATATACAATAATTCTCTTTAAACAAAAACAATGAGTGTAAGCCAAATCAAAGAAATTAACAAAACAATCCTTAAATCTAAAGTCTGAACTAAATATAATAATATATAAATAATAATATAAAATAAATAATACAAATAAAAACTTAAGTGTATATGACACCCGAATTAAACTAATTAAACTACAAAACTCAAAATTACATAGGTGGCAAAGAACTAGGGTTTGGCCGAAAGGCGATGCCATCGTCCATCGCCGATGGCCAATAGACAACACTGATCCTTCACCCCGCCCTCATAGCAAACCTGCTCATGAAAAATACTTACTTTGGCCCCGTTTACACTGATACGTCTTAGTATTGAAATAGCATTTTAGAATGAAAATGATCCACATCCACAACGTGTCCATCCGCTAAAAACGCACATCACGGGACCCCACACACACACAGCCACACATGCGCCCGTCTGAGCTGAGCTCCAGAGAGCAGTGCACGTCGGACAGTTTATCAAGGATGTACCGCTGGATCACGTCTAACTATAGTTGTTAAACGTGATATTTAGTGCATCTTGTTTCTATCTAACGACTCTTCTGTCTTTTGAATCTTATCGGGTAACGTGTCACAGCATCAGTACACTGCTTCAGTCTTTTACCTTCACACTTGTACTAAGTCATTTTAGTGAAAACCTCAGATACTGTTTGATTGTGCACCTTTTTTACCAACCAAAAATGCTCGCGGATTGGTGGAACCGACACGGTCATAGTGATAATGGACAGATGCTGAACCAATAAGAAACCTAAGAGTTGAGTAAGAAGCGGAGGGAGTGAGAAAAATAAAAACGCACAAAAAAAAAACATCAAACATAACACAAAACAACACACAGGGCCTTAACAGATACATGTTTGCACCTTGACATTGTTTTTGCTGCCTGAATAAAATTCAATTAAACCAGGAAAAATTCTATTATCTGTTTATTTTAATATAATCAATATATAAATAAAAGATTTTTTTAAACAGCTAATAAAAATAGCATTTTCCTATGGGGAAAGGTTGTATCACAGGAAATATAATTTTTTGCTATACTAAACAACATTACATATCACATGTACACTGCAAAAATGCTTTTCTTTCTGTTTTTGTTGTTTTCAGTCCAATTATCTTAAGATTCTTAAATCAAGAAGCATTTTCTAGACAAGCAAGTCCTATTGTCTTGTTTTAATATATAATATACTAATATTAAATTATAATTTTTTCTGAAAACAAGCTAAATAGTCTTCCAATGAGGTAAGCAAAATTATGTCGTTTTTGGTTTTGGCATAAAATTATTTTGCTAACCTTATTAGCAAATTATTTTTCTGGTTTTAAGGAAAAACTCACTTAATTTTGGCATATTATTTCTTAAAACAAGACTATGTTTTGTAAAAAAATTATTAAATTTTAAGAATTTTTAGATATGTGGACTAGTCCAAGTAATCTTAGGTAAGAAAAGCATTTTTAAATGTATTCACAGTATCATGCAGCCCATCTGTCTATTTAACTGTCTGTCTGTGTATCTGTCTATCCCTCTGTTTGTGTGTCTATCATACTCTCTGATTGACTGTCTATATATATATATATATATATATATATATATATTAAGCATATATATATATATATATATATATATATATATATATATATATATAAAAATACAAATATAAATTGTTCCTGTCAAAAGTTTGGAATAATTAAGATTATTCATTAATTTTGATGAACAATGAAGACGCACTTAGAATATTCTTAATCAGTAAATTAGTAAATCAAAAAATATTCTGATGATTATTATTATCAATGTTAAATATGAGGTATTCATTTATCTTTTCTTTAAAATCTTACTGACTCCAAACTTTTGATCAGTGGAGTATGTTTAACTGTAAACATGACAGAATTTGTAATAATTGTTTAAATATAATTATATAAACAATGTATTTGAGTATATGTGGTAATTGTTGGGTTAAACTGCATTTTGGTGTTTTCTGTTTGAATCTTTTTGCCATTTTTATTGTTTAGTTGTTTTTGTTTTGTTTTTTAACACACCAGACCAAAGTGAACTTGTTTTCTTTTTTGTTTGCATGGTTTTGTCCAGTGATGTTTCACACTAAGCAGTGCCCGGTGTGATTGGGTTCATTGAAAAGACTGGACACTCATTGCATCACCATATATTTTGAGTTTATGTTGAATTGCTGCGATCATCATAAAAAATGGTTACAATACACTCACACATACATGAACACCCCATGTCTTCATCCAGCTAACACGCATCAACCACACAAATCTTTCCATTAGAATGAGGTGATTTCTCTCTTTCCATCTTTATTTCATTTAGTCCTCCTTTTCTTTGTCATCTGTGTTTGCTTTTGTTTGTAAAAGAGCTTTGCTAGGATGACCAGATAACCATACAAGGACACATTTGAATGTGAATCTAGTCCAGTGTAAAAGTTAATGTTTCTGTATTAATTCACAACCTTCAGAAAACAAACAATAAAATGCAGAAAATGTGTATTTTTTAGGATTTATTACATCAGAGGTTTCCAAACTTTTCAACCCGCGACCCCAAAATAAGAACGCCAGTGACTCATGACCCCCACATTTCTTAAAAGTAGTTATAAATATACAAATATTGTTTTTTTTTTTATGTAACTATGAACTATTTTTGTCTTCTGTCTGTTATGAATAAAATATGGCAATTCTAATAGTTTAAGAAGTCCCCGTTTACATTAATATGGTTTAGTTGTAAAATGCATTACTTTTGCTAGGGTGACGTTTTCAGTTCGCATAGTTTTCGAGCCCTAAAAACAGAGCTTTTTGGAAACACTGAAGAGGCCGTTTTGGTTTTAAAGCGCTGCTGATCTGTGTCAGTGTGAATGGGAGGCATCTGAAAACAGACCTGGCTGCAGATATTCGCTACCTGAGTGGGGCTTTTTCCTCAATATGAAGTCCACAAATCTCAGACTTGCATCCTTTTCATGTAAGTTCAGACTTTGCAAGTTTATAACGAACACCGGAGGATGCGAGGACATATCGGGTAAATCTTTGAATGTAACAGCAGGATTTTAATAATGTTATTTACCATGGCTATCTTAACCATAAAATGAAAATATGATATAAAGCACTGTCTTTTTTTAAATTTTTATATTAACAACTTAAACATAATAGACACCAAAAATGTGAAGACATCGTGTCCATATTTATATGACCGTCATTTTCACTGTATGCAAAATTATGACAAAACACGAAGCCTACTAACTGGCTCTTTTCATTTCGTGAAAAATATGAACCATCAGGCCCACTTTGTGGTTTTGACAATATGTGCTTAATGTCAGGCTATATGCACACAATTAAGGTTATCAGAGGAAATGCATGGTGAAATATAAAATAGCCATCTCTTTCGCTGAATATAATAATCAGTAAGCTATAATTTTAATAATAATTATAAAAGTATAACGTACAGTAAGTTTATACAATATCTGAAATAAAAGCAAGCAATCAGTCAAACATGCAGAATCAGTGTATGCAGTTACATAAATTAACAGGTATATTAACTTATCTTTGCACTCAGCCAAGCCACATTACCTGAGAAAAAGTAAGCTTATACATTTGAAAGACTGAGTCTGTAGATATAAGTCTACACAAGATGAATTATAGATCGCGATTAACAACTACAGAGAGATGAGATACAGGGGAAGATTCAGGATGGACTGGCTGATGTTCGGCTACTCTCAGCCGGGCAGGTGTGCTCTGAGCTCCCGCTGGCTGCCTGGAGCTCAGACATGGAGTATGCTGAAGCAGCTTTTAGCGCATACCAGAGTGTGTGTGTGGTCACGTGATGTGCATTGTTAGTGGTGTATTATGAATCGTTTCAGAAATGATAGATGAAACGTCAATGTGGACGTGGATTGTTTTCGCTCTAAACGCCATTTTAAAATGAAAAAGTATTAGTGTAAATTAGCATCGTGCTAAAGAGGGGTTTGGGAATAAATTAATAGCTGAACAAATCATATGGGAGTCGTTGGGATAATTAAGTAAAAATAAATGCATATTATAAGACAACAAATTTGTTTTTGACCTTGCATGCATATCAGACTGCTGTTTCAGAACCCAAAACCAAAATATGACCCTTTTTAATGCATAACAGCAGCTCTTTAAGTAAAGATAAACAAAAGTTGTTTGATTCAACAAAATTATTTAAGGTAACAAGATTTTTTTCACAGTACAGGTGGCATTCAGTTCAGTAGCTGCAATGCTTGATTTCACTCCATTGAAAGTAAATGAGAAGCATTTAGCCTAATTCACCATGTTAAAGGGCCATGAAACCCCCTCGTTTCAGCAGGGTGTTTTCACACCTCTACTTTGGAAAGTCAGAAAAGTGGGCGTGTCCAGCTCTGTTTAGGGGGGAGTGTCGGAGGAACTAAAGTGGGATGATGTGGGAGTGTCTATTTGGGCACGCGCGAGTTTCAGAGTCAAAACACACACACACACACACACACACACACACACACACAGGAGAAAGTGATGATGTTTACATGGACATCTGTAGTCAAATTATTTGCCAAATTATTAAATGGTGGACTTTAACTGCAGTTTGGCTCTTTCATTCAGGGAATTCATTCATGTCCCTCGCGACAAACGAGATATTTGATTCAAGGATCTGCTCTAAGCGTGTATTTTTCATGCAATGTTTGATACCGCATGGCGAATGAGAGAAAAAAAAACCTCAGCATTTCCCGGAAACTTAGATGCACACGGCAGGTAGCGTCAGAAAGCCGCGTGTGTTATTCCGGTCACAAAATGCGGTGAAAACCCTACACGAGGTTTAAGTTTTGTTGTGGTGCTAACATGTTTACACTCAGTGCAATAGTTAACTTAGTTCGATACGAACATACTGAATAAACAAAGAGCACTGGTCGCTCACTTACCAAATCTGTAGCAACTAGAGCCGCGTCTTTATTAAGAGGAGACTACAAGCGAATCCGGATCTCAGCGTTTGCAGATGAGAACAGCTCTCAGGTAAACAATAATCCTCCTTAGACACGTAAGTTATTGTTGTCGAGCGTCGCGTACACTGTTAATCCACACGTGACTCCAGCTGAGCTCTCACAGAGAGAAAATGAAAACAAAACTTAACTGCAGCAAACTATAAAAGCAACACTTCACGCTTGTTTTGCCAATACAACGTGGTGTGTCTGTCGTCTAAACACTATGACAGTAATGAATATTAATGAAGTTGCAAAATAGAGCGCGCTGATTGGTTTGAACCAAGCCTTACTCATGCATTAATGCATCACACTGTAAGACGTAATAAGACACACTCTGGCACAGACGTCCAGTCTGCACGCTGGAATACACGCTATTATGTCATGACCGTGACGCAGCTTCAAAAATTCGTTTCAAACTGGAAGTACGAATTTGCTTGAAATAATGCAAAAACAACCAATTCACACTTTTTAGCGAAATATAGGTGTTTTTAGCAGTGTGGGACACATATACGACTGTCAACAGCTCAAAAAATGTGTTTTGGTGTTTCGTGACACTTTGAAACTAATGATTGGGTTTGTGATGTTCTGAATGCAAGTTCATCAAGACGGAGCGTAGCTTGTAAAATCTCTGGTCATTCTAGTTCCTTTGCACACTGTCTCTGTTGTTTTCCTCTCATGATGATGGTTTTAGACTAGTATACCTACCAAATGCTCCCTGTAACACCTGCTTGTGCTCTGCTGTACCTGTCTGTCTGCCTTTCTGGTAGGTATTAAATAGCGAACTCTCTTTTTCTCACTGTGCTGTTTGTCCTTCTACAGGACAGCCTCTCCATGGCCTCTCCTGCTTTCCTTCTCTCTCTCTTTGTAAGTATCCAGGCTGAAGATCACAAGATATTCCCCTGTCCCCTCTTACCAAAACACATACACACATTTATACTCTCACACAGAGCTCTCTGATTGGTTAGATCTGATCATCGCTTCCTGACTGTTCAAAAGCAGCTGAACTTTTGCTGTTATTAACATGTCCCAGGTTTGTATGTTAACAGGCTGTGTGCTATACATTTCCTAGTAGATTTAAAGTGCACAACTGCACATTCATAAAACTTCGGCACACAGGTGTCAAATCCAGTTCCTGAAGGGCCACAGCTCTGCAAAGTTTAGATATAACCCTAATTAAACAGAGAATCTTGAACACAAGATATAGGGCGTACTCACACTATGCTATCCGAACCGTGCCCAGGCCCGTTTCCCGGATCGTTTGAGAAGTGTGAGTGCTCTGAATCAGGCTCAGGCACAGTTCACTTGGCCGGCCCTGGCCCAGTTGGAAAAGGTGTACCAGAGTGCGGTTCACTTGGTCTTTGGCGTTGTATGTTTGTAGTGTGAGTTTAAAACGCGCCTGAGCCTGAAACTGAAAGCGAGACGTGGCTTTAAGGGACTGTTTGATTAAGGATTTATTAATCATTCTTACTGTTCAATAAACGCAAACTGCCTTAGACGCAAACCCCTCACTGCACCACAGCTGCATCTTCAGCAAACCTCCTAAAACCTGCAGCATGAGGACTTTAAAATTGTTTATAAGCGTCAAAAGTGGCTGATCTGTTTGGCGAAATATTTGACGTGTCACTGCATCCTAAACAATATAACTAAAGAAATCTCCACTGTGCTGAGCGAAATCGCTTACTGAACAGCGCATCATCGCTGATGTAAGCGCATCCAGGCCCGAATGTAATGTGAGTGCAGGTTGTCGGGGGAGATGAGAGGGGGGACAAGCGTGCTTTGGCCCGGTTCAAGGCAACTGTACATAGTGTGAGTACGCCCAAAGAGTAACGCTAAATAAATCTCAAACTGACATAGACACTCTTGTCGATGTCAATATTTTGAATTAAATCATACATTTTGATTTAATCAAACTAATGAATACTTTCAGAACATTTGGAATATACAACACTTGTCACATGGGACCATCCTTTAGTTCCTATTATATGGTTCAAAAAAGAAAGAATGTGACATTGGAACAGCACTAGGGTTATACATCCCTTATATCCTTTTAAGCTTCTCTGCTGTTCGATTTTCACAATAACAGTTATAATCATTCACTCTCCTGTAAATTTTTTTTTTTCTTTTTAAAAAATTTCCCAAATGATGTTTAACAGAGCAATTAATTTTTTTCCCAATCTCCCCTATGTTTTTTTTCTTCTGTAGGAAGTCTTATTTGTTTTATTTCAGCTGGAAATAAAAGCAATTTTTAATAAAAAAAAAAAAATAAACATTATAAGGTCAATATTATGAGCTCCCTCAAGCAATATTTTGTTAGATAGTCTACAGAACAAACAATCATTTTACAATGACTTGCCTAATCACCCTAACTTGCCTAATTAATCTAGTTAAGCCTTTAAATGTCACTTTAAATTAAATTCTAGTATCTTGAAAAGTAAAATATTGTGTACTGTCATCATGACAAAGATGATAGAAATCAGTTATTATAAATTAGTTAATAAAATTATGTGTAATAATGTTAGAAAAAAATCTTTCCGTTAAACAGAAATTGGGGGAAAATATTCAGAGGGTCTAATAATTCAGACTATGTATTGCAGCATTTCTCAAGTTTCTTTAAGATGAATCGTTTATATATTACAGCAATGCACAAACACAACCTTGTTGTTTTCCGATCATATCTAGCTGATGTTGCACACTGACGGTCTGGTGTGTTAGCACAGGCTTTGACAGGCTGTTTGAATGGCTCGTGTCTTTGCTCTTCCAGGACGGGGGCACCAGAGGGCGCCGCAGTGCCATTGAGGCCGATATGAAGATGAAAAAGTGAAGCAAGACGTCATCACGAGTTCAAATAAGACTTATTTACCTGTTTCTATAAGGCGTTCGGGCTACGTTTAGTTACTCTGGTTTGATTCAGCAGTTTGCCACGGTCTAGTTAAAATAAATGAGGCTTCAAAAGGACTTGACCTTTTTTCCACAGAAGTCTTTCAGTTCTAGAGCTGAAAAACTGATCCAATGTGCTTTGACTCACTTGTTTACTTGAGTTTAGAGAAGCTGTCATCACTGGCGTCTTAAAACATGCTGAATGTACCACCATGAAGACCACTAGATGTGTAGAAACCAGAATGTTACCTTCTGAAACCTTCCAAGCCATTGATTAAACACAAAGATCATCGTCGCCTTATGACATTGGGGAACGCAGAACGTCAAGAGCAATAAAAATAAGCTCTTCAATGGGAATGAAGATGGATCCTCGGTTTTCTTTTATCTCGATTTCTTTGCCTAGTCAGGATGATTACAGTTTAAAGGCCTAAAGTACTACACTATGTTCTTGAAAGTGAGTGAATCTGTACGTTTAGAAAGAACATATAGTTTTGTACAGGGTCTTCGTGTACAGTGTTTTTGTATAGTGTCGTGAAATGTTTTAATAAAACATGAGTCTGCAAATAAAAAAAGGGAAGTTGATGGGTTATTTTAAAAATAATTTATTCACATTTCAGCACTTTCCAAATACAAATACCGTTACAAATGCTTCACTGTGAGACAATGCCAGCTTGTCCCATTCACGTGAAAACATAAAGCATTAATAAATGACGTCAACATACAAGAGTGGAGTGAGTCACGTTTCAACCCAAACCCTCCTAAATCCCTGAACATCAGTAAACAATAGTGCAGATTCAAAACTGAACATTCTGTAGTCGCAAACACACCCATCACTCAGATCTTACCACACACACACACATAGAAAACACACCTAACAACAACTAGTGACAAAGTAGTGTTTGTTACAGAACTCAAGATATGATGGTGCTGTACTGGATTCCTGGAGGGCCACAGCTCTGCACAGTTTTGCTCCAACCCTAATCAAACACAGCTGATCCAAATAATCAGTGTTCAAGAGTTTAACACCTTGATTAGTTGGAGCAGCCGTGTTTGATTAAGGTTGGAGCAAAACTGTGCAGAGCTGCGGCCCTCCAGGAATCCAGTTTGAGACCTATGTTATTGCATATTGGTTCGAAAGCTTTGGGTCAGTAACATTTTGGAAAAATAAAAAAATAAATAAAAAAATAAAGTAAATATTGGCTATAAACAAATCAAACTAAACCAACTATAAGCTAGTGTTGTCAAAAAGTGTGGACAAAAATATTTCACTAATTATAATATGAAGACATAACTATTTCTGTGTGTAGGATTACAATGCCTGCTAAAAACTAGTGTTTTAAAGCAAAAACAAAACGTAATACTGTACAAATAACTAATAATACAGCATTGCTGCGTTTAAACGATCTTTCAAAAATACTACTGAACCCATCTTTTGAACATTAGTGCTTGTATGCATCTGGTTCTACACTTTTAATTACTTGTTTGTATATTAAACAAAGCATTATAAAATACAGTAACAACAACATACCCGCTTGTTGTGTGTGAGAAATGTTGGCTGCATTATAGCAACTTTCATTGAACTGAAGTGTTTAAACCGTATTCAGTGAATTCTGAATGTAACAGTGAATATCATTGGGGTAAAGTTGGTTTTATATTCGCACGTTCGGACGTTTTCCTTTATCATTTCAGAAAAGCATTCTTGCAAATTCTGAATAGCGAAATTCAGACATTGTTGACAGCCAATGAAATGATCGTAATGTTGTTTTGAAGTCATGCGATTTCAGACCGAATATTCAAAGTGGCTTGGTAACCAATATAGGGACTGTTAAAATGAACGAATGTGCGAATATAAAACCAACTTAACCTCGATGTGAATAACAATGTGCAAAATGAGCTCGTCTTCCTCTGAAACCTCAGCCATGGACTCATTTTTTTCTATTAATACCACAGTGTTAATAAAACTCCAGTACAGTTGGAGTAGCGGATGAGTAGAGCTTGCGTTTGATTATTCGGTATTCTCTTCGAATGCTCAACACCTTCCCTCCACCAAACAGGATCTTCAGCGGAGGCCATCCTCCCAAATCTGCCTGTAGGACCACAGAGACTTCAAATGTTGGCGTGAGACTCTGATCAGGAATAACTGTGCCTAGATTCAGTAGTGTGCCTTTGTTTTCCATGTACATGTGGATCAGAGCTCCCCGTATCCCGCATGGCTCATCCACGGATAATCGCAGGATGTCTCCGGCCAGCCGTGTGGTCATGTGTCTGGGCAAGCGCAGCTCCTGGCAGCGCAGACTTGCTCCTTTGGCCTCATAGAGGCACTTCTCGATGCGTTTGGACAGGTCAAGCTGAAGACACACATCTTCACCTTCTTCCTCTTCCAAACTGCACGCAGATCCCAGACCTGTGGATGAGGAAACAAGCTCAGCTAATTGGACAGAAACTCAACACCTCAGCAGGCTGACTGTGACCCCTGTGGATCATTAGATCAGGAAACCAGCACCGTCAGCCTGGGTTACAGTGTCATCAGCTGATCATGGACTTTAGAATGCAGAATTTGTGTTGCAATTTTAGGAAACGGGAAGTATTGTACGTGCTTGCTCATGAGTGTGTCAGCAATACGATCACAAGTTCTTGAAAATGACCATAATAGGGAGATAATGTGAAATACTGGCAGTGTTGCCAGATGTAGCTGACTGTTTCCAGCCCCAAACCCGCTGAAAACCAAAAAGCACCACCTAACAATCAGTAGACTGTAATACCCTGCTGAGAGGTTGAAGAGGTGTCTCGTTTGGAGATCACATCTGTTTTAAGGGTTTGTATGGGGGGAACGGGGACTATGGCACCTCTTTGGGGGATCATAACAGTTTATAAGTGAACACCAGGACTGGCAGGCACGCCGTTACAAAACCACCCAAGTTTACACTTTCTGCCTATGTCATTTTTTAGCCGCAAAAATAAATAAAAATAATAATAAAAACGCCCAATCTGGCAACACTGAATACTGGGCAAGTATTAAAATTACAATAAATATAATAAGGTGGTACATTATTATATGAGATTGAAACAAATTGCATTACATTCAAAAATAGTTTAAAGAAATCTAATTAAAAAAAAAAAAGACTAATGTGGTCCTTCAACTAGTAACAAAGGTCTGTAGAGATAATTTGTTAATTTTTATAAATGACATTTAAATACGAGATAGATAGATAGATAGATAGATAGATAGATAGATAGATAGATAGATAGATAGATAGATAGATAGATAGATAGATAGATAGATACGTGGTTTAATGGTTTCAAATATTTGTCCATAAACCTAGATTTTATACAAGTATTTTATGGGTTATAAACATTGTTTAGTACATATTTAATATAACCAAATAGTAATCATATATTATAATAATAATACTTTTTTTTGTATTGAGGTGAAGTATTGTATTCAAATGTGAAATTTTATATTCGCACATTCTTTCATTGACAACTTGTGAAACTGTTCTTATATTGCTTACCATGGTACTAGATATTTAATAAGTTTGGTCTGAAATCGCTTACAAGTATGACTTCAAAATCAACATAAGCACGATTTATTTGACTGAACAATTTTGTATTTTGATAGTCATTGGCTGTTAGCATGATTTCTCTATTTAAAACTAGCAAAACAATACTTTTCTTAAATTATATTTAGAAAAAGTTAGGGCGTGTAAACACCGATGACTTGCTTTCGATCATTTTGTTTTCAGTTAGGTTAAAGGATTATGTTGAGGTAGTTTGATTTTCGTTTTTGTTATTTTCTTTTCTTTCAGCACCACTTTGTCCTCCCCTGCATGGTTTATTATTTTTGGATTATTTTGGTTATTATAAAAGTTGCATATAATTAATTTTCGTTGTTGTTATCTATATTATTCTTCTTTATCATTACTATTTTCTGTTTAGCTTTGATTTTTGTACTATAAATTATCTTTTTGGCCGTATTTTGCTTGATGCAAGGTTCTTCTCCCATATTACACAAAACTGTCACAATATAAATGTTATTTACTTCAATACCTAGTCTAACATCAAGAGGTCGTAACAGTCAGAATATAAAACCAACTTTACCCCAATTTTTGTGTGTACGAAAAAAAAAATCAAATGTGTAACGAGTAGCTAAATTACAAAACTTCACGTTTGGGTGAACTATACAGTCATTGTGATTCCCAGTCTCCCCTCAATTTTGAAATCCAATATTTAAAACCAACATACAAAGTTAAAACTTTTGGCGTTATATTACAAAATGTTTAGCGACTGTGCCAACATGAGCCAGTTTCCCCAATAGTGTTTTTCATTATACTTCAGGAGTGAGTGAACTTACTGGAGAAGCTTTGTGCCTTCATGAGTCTACCGCAGTGCTGGAGCGGCTCTCCGTCTCCTCTGAGCCCCGGGATGAGGCTTAGGTCCTCCGCCAGCGTTAGGTTTTCCGGCTCATTCCTGACGGACATGCCGAACACCAGAGCTTGTGTATAGACCATTTTAGCGTGATTTCCTCCGACTGTTTCCCCGAGACCTCACCTAACTCTTCCACTGACGGTTTCTTTGTTTCTTCCATGAATGCGTAAGGTTGAGAAGCGCCGTCTTCCTCCTAGCTGCCGGGTTATATACTGAGCAGTGAGCGCTGTTGTTGCATCAGCTGGAGATTGTGGGATGGGCGACATGATGAGAACACGTGACCATCGTCAGACTACTAGAGTACATGCAACATTACTACTTCTTGCGTTTATACTGCTGATTGTATTGTGTTGTATTATTCATTCGTTTTCTTTCGGCTCAGTCCTTTTTATTCATTAGGGGTCACCGCAGCGGAATGAACCGCCAGTATTGTGTCCCTGGCAGAAAATGCCAGGGACATGCACACTTCTGACTGTCTAGAAATAAACCAAAAAGAATAATAATAATAAAAAAAGAACAATTTGTATTATTCTGGCATTGTAAATCATGATGTAAATCATTTAGGTAATCTTAACGGACCTAAAACATTAAAAGTTTAGTATGATTTACCATCAGACATTTTTTAGAGTTATCTGGTTTCAACTATATGACGTACTTTATAAAAAATAATGATTACAGTTTTAGGTTTTAGAAGTGTAACGGATGCTTGCTAGTGCTTGTTATCATAATGCCATATATAATTTTTCTGGGTTTTAATGATCTAATCTTAAGTAGATACTCATTAGAAAAATGTATCTATAAGTTCTATAAAACATGTGTTGTTAAGTTTAAAAAAATAAAAAAAATTATATATATATATAATTTGTTAATGACAAAACACACCAATGTAGCCTATAGTACTATATAGCCAAGTGATTTCCAGTAAGTATGAAATGTGATTATTCACAGGTGAGATTCACATGACCAGAAAGGCAGCCAGTAAAATCCAGTTTAGCGGCCCTTTCAACTTAAAGGAACAGTTCACCCAAATATGGCTGTCTCTTACTCTCCATTGATTTCAATTGTTAAGTCAGCGTGGACCAGCAAAGGCTTGTTTTGTGTTTGAATGAGAAGGATATTTATGGTTTGGAATCATCTTAAGACAAGGTTTTACAATTATTCTTAATAGTCACCCACTTTGGAAAAAAATCAAGCAAAAACATGTCTAGAGTAAAAGCATGCAGTGCGTCACTAGAATGAGTCTGTAATTGTTACGAAAGAAAAAAAAAAAAAACCCGTAGCTATCACCAATGTCTAGGTTGCTATAATATATAATACACAGAACATTTAGCTGTTTGCAGCAGATCCTCTGAAAATAGCTTTGACTTATAGCCTCAGTCTTTATAAAAAAAAATGAACTAAATAACTTATTTAATCTCATTACATTATTTTCATGTAAACATTCACTGAAAAGAGTGATATCTTCTGTTGCTTTGTGTGCTAAATTTAAACAAATTAAATAATGTAACTTGTTTAAACTCAACCCAAATAAATTCTTTGCAAACACTTGAAATGGAAATCCAATGAATTATCTTTCAATATATTTTTTTCTTTTAATAATAGTATCTCAAAAGAATACAATGTGTTGCTGTTGTCAAAAAAAGCCGTATGCCTAATCAGAATTGCTCATTAATTTCGCACGCAATTTCAAAGAAACACAATGAATTAAACATGAAAATGTGCTGTGTTAAATCGTAATGGCATTTACTTTTAGGAATAAAATGACGCCAGGAATAACCATGTTTTTTTTTTACCTCTACTTTTACTTGAGTTGATTGTTTTAATGGTAAACGTGATTGAGGCAAATTTACAAAGGCGTTTACATTTAGAAATAAAATGATGCCAGAAATAATGTTTTTCACCTCAATTTTTCGCTTGAGTTTATTGTTTCAACTGTAAACGCGAATGAGGCTAAATAACAAAGGCGTCACTGTGCCGCAAAATTTGCGCCATTTTGCATTGATTAATCTACAAGCGCCAATTCTTAATTTCGCATTTGGTCTGAACCAGCCAGGCAAAAGAGTGTTTCTTGTGAATCAATCTGTATTTACAACTTTAGAACGTGTGTATTTTTGCTTTCAGAAAGAGTTTTTCTCGTCTTTCTGGCATGTGTGAAATCATCTTCTCTGTCTGTTTGCTGTCTGTGAGTCACGTCGTCGAGGGACTTTTTCTCGTGACTTCACCTTTGTTCCTTGTCATTACCCTAGCTGTGACGTCACACCCAATGAACCGTCGTAGCCCACATAATGAGGAACTACCTAGAGTTTTCTAGAAGCGCCGAGAAGTTAAATATGTAAATCAGGAGAGACTAAACCTGAACCTGAATCTCCTGACTGTGTGAACGAGGAAGAAAGCATTTGGTAACCTTTAACCGAGCTTAGAATGTGACTGTGTCTGAATCAGCTGTTAAGAAAAATGCATTCATCTGACCTCAAAATAGACTCCACTCATATATTTAGATTTTTAGCTGTCGTTTAGTTCTCTATTTATTTCACTCTACATGGTTACAAAAATTATATGACCAATTGTAAGTCATAACATGTTTTGTTATTTAAACCGAGGTATTTATGCTACTAACTCGGAATTTAAAGTTAAAAATGTTAGACAACCAGTCATTTTTTATAGTGTAGAAAACAACACTCACTTTTCCTTCTTGTTCAAACTACTTATTTTAAATGAGCTAAATCAACACAATTCTTAAGTTTTATTTGGGACAACTTAAACTTTTGAGACCGCTTAAATATGTAAAAACAAATAAGGTAACTTAATCCATTTACATTTAGTCATTTAGCAGACGCTATTATCCAAAGCGACTTACAAATGAGGACAAGGAAGCAATTTACACAACTATAAAAGCAACAATGAATAAGTGCTATAGGCAAGTTTCAGGTTATGCAAAGAAAGTGTAAGAAGCAAAACAGTAGTAACTTTTCGTTTTTATAATGTAGTTAGTGGAGGGGTCAGAGAGGGAATTGCAAATTAAATGCTTTGGGACAGTGTGAAGGAATTGTGTGGTATACCCAGCATTTTTTACAGCGAAAGACAGAGGAGGACTGTGTTAGTGTTTGCTGATTTTAATCATATAAATTTGAGCTGGTCAGATGGTCTCAGTCAGATGCTTTCATGGATGACTGACGGAGATCTGGATCACTGCAGAAACCAGTCTGCATACCTAGATTATACTGATTATTATAGAGAATGGCTTTGTAAACATCTCAATAATGTATAAATGTAGTGTATAATACTGTAGTAATAAAACCCTTCGTGACTGAGTTTCAAATTAATTCAAACAAATTCACAAGTATTTTTTGGGTAATTTACAGCTTATTCTTTTTCAAAATCGGAAAGATAATTTTGTTTCATTTAAATTCAGATATTTCAGATCATTTTTTAGTTATATCGATCATTTTCAAGAAGTATAATTATAACTCACTTCATAAAGATAACTTGAGACATTTGGTTAGTTAACAATTACAAGGAAAGAGAAGAGAATACATTGCTCACATTTAGGCCTTTAGAATGAATGTGTAAAACAATTTTTTAAAATAACAATTACACCATAAAATAACCAATAATAAAATTATTATTTAAATACATATGTTTTTATAACACATTTACCTTAAATTTACAATGTTTTGTGTTAAATTCTATTTGACATAAAAATTAATTTAATATTATATTTAATATAAATATATTAAATAATATTTAACTAATATCTCATATTTAATAACAATTATGAAATAATATGTAGCATAAAAAATGGAAGAATATGTTTTTATTAAACTCTTTTATAATAATAATAATCTATTTGATAAAATATAAATTATTGTTACTATAGTGCCATTACTAATATTTTTTTCAGAATCTAATTTTGTAATAATAATTTAATTTATTAAAACGAAAACAAGAATAATAATAAATATTAATATCATTTCTAGTAGTAATGTTTATTTAAACATTAAAAGTTTTATTAAAAATATATAGCAATAATTATTTCATTTTAGTTTTATTTTTGTTAAACTTGTTTTATTTTGTAACTTGTTTTGAACAAATATTTTATTCCAAAAATGAATAAAAACACAAATGAAAGTAAATCAACAAAATCAATATTATTGTTATTAAATTATAATCAATACAAAGTAACAGTAATAAGTAAATGTTTACACAAAACACTGATAAAAGCAGTTGAGTGTATAATATAAAAAAAAATGATAGGGTAAATAAATCAACCCAGCAGCCAGATTACATCAGCCCAGCTGTAAAAACCTGATCCACCATTCTATTATTAGTGCTGGCTTAGTTTGCTTCACTTTGAGGGCTTTCTGTTTGAAAAATGTTAATTTGGGCCGTCTTGTCTGAATAAACATACTCTTTGATATGTTGAATTAAAAGTCATAATTCCTGCATGAGCAGTGTTAAAGTGTTGTGAATGATCTCTGTTTTAAGGACTGGTTCAGACTTGTTACTCTTGTTCTGTGTGTTGGTGGATAATAAAGCAGCTAGTCTGTGAAAAAGTGTCTTCTCTGGAAAAAGAAAAGCCTTTTCAACAGCATTTATTAAAAATAGATTTCTTCAGTATAAGGAAAAGCTTTACACTGGCATATATGTTTATGAAAATATATTGTATATGAGGGTACGAAAACATGCTCTAATTAAAACTGCTGTAAAAAAACGTTACAAGTAATTATAATTGTATATAAAACGCATATTTCTTATCTGGCAGCAATAAATGGCATTGGGCTTGTAGACATGGTCAAGATGAACTGCTGTAGTTCAAACTGAGCATCAGAATGGGGAAAAAAGGGGATTTAAGTGACTTTAAATGTGGCATGGTTGTTGGTGCCAGACTGGGTGGTCTGAACATTCAATTGGACAATAGACGATTGGAAAAACATTGCCTGGTCTGACAAGTCTCGATTTCTGCTGCAACATTAGGCCAAAGCGTACCTGTCTATCCCTTTATGACCACAGTGTACCCATCTTCTGATGGCTACTTCCAGCTGAATAATGTGCCATGTCATAAAGCACGAATCTATATATATGGACTGTATTGTGTGTGTATATGTATAGAGTGTTTGTATATGTATGGACTGTATCGTGTGTGTGTGCATATGT